GTAGGATTTACTTCTTTTCCATGGCTAAAGAATATGCATATACAGTATACACACACACACACACACACACACACACATATATATGTATACCATATAGGGGCAGAGGGAGACAGAGAATCTTGAGCAGGCTCCACACTCAGCACAAGTCCGACACAGAGCTCCATCCCACAACCCTGTGATCATGACCTGAGCCTAAATCGAGAGTCAAGATAAGGTGCTCAACCACCTGAGCCACCCAGGTGCCCTCTGATCTATTACATTTTTAAAGTGCAGATACAAAATTACATATGTAATAAAATCCAACTCTGTAAGAAAAACATTATGAATGTGTGTTCTATGCAGAGAAAAATCTAAAAGCTATATACCAAAATATTAACATTAACCATTGCTTATTTTCTTCCTCATATGTACTTACCTTTATTTTTGAGATTTTTAAATAATTAATGAGTACTTATAATCTGATGAATCATTCTTATTCTGAATAGAAGTCAGTTTAGACCTTGTGAAAACAATTGGCCATGGTGCCAGTTCCACTGTCTTCTCTGTTCTTAGGTACTTTGCCTATGCCTAAACTTGCCTTTGCTAACCCTAGATCTGGATAAGGTTTTCTTGCACCATGATTGTGGCATACCACTCAGTCACTTATAACCTTGATCTCAGAGTTTTAACTTTGAATCCATGAGACTTTCCTGGTTAGAGTTCATGACTCTTCATCCCTATAATTAAATATACACAGCTCTCAGGGAAGTATAAACTGGTTCTCAAGTTGAAGACTTGATCTTTCAGCTACATCCGATTCACTCACTGATAATTCTGTTGACAGGTAATCCCATTAGCAAGTTTTGACTATCTGTAACAACCCAGCTCAGCTGTGGACTCTATAGGCCCTGTATTCCAAACTAAAGGCAATATTCCACAGGCAACCAGCCGAGCTGTTTGTATTACTTTGGATCCTAACTCCTTAGACTAGATAGGAGATAAACAGTAAATGCTGAGATTTTGACTATCTAAAATCTATTTTAATGAATAAATTTTTGAAAAATATATAATACTTAGAAAAAACAATAACTAGACGTAAGGGAACCATATGCTGAAATAACATTACCGATTCAAAACATTCATATAGGAAAGAATTATTACAAACCATCTGGAGGTAGGATAGTTGGGAGGGTGGTTAATGCTTATTCCAGCCTTTTCTTTCTTTCTTCTTGATTTCTACTGAGTTCTAGAAAAGTATCTTTTGTCTGTTCCTAAATTTATTGGCATAAAACTTACAGCATTTTCTTGTGATATTTTAAAATCTCCACTAAAGGAGTGCCTGGGTGGCTCAGTCAGTTAAGCGTCCAACTTCAGCTCAGGTCATGATCTCATGGTTCGAGCCCCAGGTCAGACTCTGTGCTGACATCCTGGAGCCTGGCGCCTGCTTTGGATTCTGTGTCTCCCTGTCTCTTTCTGCCCTCACCTGCTCGTGCTCTCTTTCTCAAAAATAAATAAAACATTAAAAAAATAATTTAAAAAAATCTCCACTAAAAAATTAATCAAAAACAAAAAAAACTCTCCCTAAATCTGGGGATGCCTGGTTGGTTCAGTCAGTAGCATGTGTGACTCTAGATCCTGGAGTCATGAGTTCAAGCCCCATGTTGGGTGTAGAGATTAGATAAATAAATAAATATTTTAAAAAATCTCCCTTAATCTATGGTTAACTCTTATACTTTCTAAAACTGCTTAACATTTCTTATCTTTACAGGTCTTGCTAGAGGCATGTCTTTTATGATTACTTTTATGATTACTTTTTTTCAAGAATCAGCTTTTGATTTTGCTGATTTCACTGCTTATTTTCTACTGTATTAATGTCTGCTTTTGCACGCAAATGTTTACTGCATTTTTATTTGTAATACTCCCAGATTGGAAACAACCTAAATGTCTATCAACAATTTGTGCTATATCCAATGGAATAGCAGTCAGCAAAAAAGGAACAAACTAGTGATACACTAAGTGTGAATGAATCTCAAAATTGTGGTAAGTGAAAGAAGCCAGCTGGAAAAGAGTACTTACTATGATTCCATTTATATGAAATTCTAGAATACAATATAAACTGATGTACAGTGACACAAACGGTTTCTAAAGACCTTTCCCTGGGAAGGTAACATTTACTAAGAAGTATGCACCTAATTTGATCTTATAAGCATTCTCTTCATCCTTCTATCAGTTCCTAGGATCCAGGAAATCCTACCCTTACTCCTAGCATGTTTCTCTGTTTTCTGGCTTGAGGAATACATGCTAGAAAAACTGGTTTTTCCTTTGGTGAATCTTAGCTCCTTTACATATTGTGGTCCAAACCAGAATCTTAGTTTACACTCTGACCTTATTTGGGGAAAACTGATCATTTTAAATTTCTGAACCTGCAGGTTAAAAAATAAAGTGAACATACATGGGGCACCTAGCTGGCTCAGTTGGTTGAACGTCCCAACTGCCTCAGGTCATGATCTCAGGGTTTGTGAGTTCACCAAGCCACACATCAGGCTTGTTGCTGTCAGAATGGAGCCTGTCTTGGATCCTGTCTCCCTCTCTCTCTGCCCCTCCTCTGCTCATACTCTCTCTCTCTCAAAAATAAGCATTTAAATAAAAATAAAAAATTAAAAATGAATATACAGATTAATCCTTCACACATAAAAGAAAGGGGTCTTTAACCGAAAAATTCACCATTGAGTCTTAGTTCCTGGGATCTAAGCCAAATAGCTACACCTAGTGTTTAAAGCGGGATCAACAATTTTTAAGTATAATCTTTGCTCTAAAAACAGAAGTGTCACTGAAAGAGATCCTGGTTTTCCATTGTCAAGGTTGACAAAGCCTTAAGTGATCCCCAGAGGTTTGGAAGAGGTATCATCATAATTTTTTTTCATAAATTCCTTTTCTATGAAATCATTTTTCATAATAATGTAGTATGTATGGCTTTATTACTATTGCTAGGGAAAACAAAAGTATTATTTGAAAAAGCAAAGAGAAAAAAAATCAGGTTGGCTTCAAGTCACCTTATCTTAAACTTTGGTTAGAACCCTTTTTTTTAATCTTTTTTTAAAAAAGATTATTTATTTATTTAGAGAGAGAGAGCATGAATACACGTGAGCATGAGAGGGGCAGAGAGAGAGGGAAAGAAAGAAAGAATCCCAAGCAGGCTGCATGCTGTCAGCACAGAGACCCACACAGGGCTTGAATTCATGCCCAATGAGATCATGACCTGAGCTGAAACCAACTGTCAGAGGCTTAACCAACTGAGCCATGCAAGCGCCACTAGAAATGAAGTGTCTTAATGTTTACAACTTACAGTTCTGACAAAAACTAAATGACACTAGACACGCACACATGAATAAAACAAGTGCGACAACAATTTTTATTTTTTCCCCTATGTTCATCTGTTTTGTCTTTTAAGTGGTTTTTTGTTTGTTTGTTTGTTTTTTTCAACTTTTATTTATTTTTTGGGGGACAGAGAGAGACAGAGCATGAATGGGGGAGGGGCAGAGAGAGAGGGAGACACAGAATCGGAAACAGGCTCCAGGCTCTGAGCCATCAGCCCAGAGCCTGACGCGGGGCTCGAACTCACAGACCGCGAGATCGTGACCTGGCTGAAGTCGGACGCTTAGCCGACTGCGCCACCCAGGCGCCCCTGTTTTGTCTTTTAAATCCCACGAGTGGGCAATAACAATTTTTAAATCTAGGTAATAAAATCATATGGCTGATTTGAACTTTTTGCTCATCTTCATTGTACTTAAATGTTCAGAATAAGAAATTGAAAAAATTAGGGACGCCTGGATGGCTCAGTACGTTAAGCGTCTGAATTTGGCTCAGGTCATGATCTTGCAGTTCATGGGGTTAAGCCCCATGTCGGGCTCTGTGCTGACAGCTCCGAGCCTGGAGCCTGCTTTGGATTCTGTGTCTCCCTCTCTCTCTGCCCCCCCCTGCTCATGCTTTGAGTCTCTCAAAAATAAATAAACATTAAAAAAAAAAAATTTTTTTTTAAAAACTAGAGGTGCATAGTCAAATCTTTTTTTTCTACTAACTCCTACCCAACTTTAGCAGTCCACTTTGTGTTTTACCCACCTATTTGAATGTTTCCTTGATGATTCCAGGACCAATTGAATTCTTCCTTTTCCGAATTTCCCTGGTACTTTAATTTAGCACTTAACATTCTGCCTTATGCCCAGTCTCAATAAATACATTCTAAATCCCCAGATGAAAAGGTAGAAGGTTCTTGTAGGGGACTACCATAACAGAATATAGGAATTGAAAAGCTAAATTAGAATGAGATTATGGCCTGACTTATCAGGCAAAAAAGATTGTTAAGCAAGTTTACAGGATTTAGTGGTAAGTGATGAGACCCTAAACTAGGATGATAGCAATAAAAATGAAAAGTCCTGTGGATTATGGGAAACATTTACACTCCTTCCTTGCGGTGGCGTTCTTACTAGTTTTCACAAAAAGCTAGCCAAACCTTGGACAGCTTTACAAATTCCCCAACACTGTAACATCACACCCTACCCACTGCTAACTCAGGGTCTAACAGGAAGAGAGGGTGACTTTAAATAGAATTCCTCAGGCAGACATTCACGTCCAACATTCATTCATTCGCTGAGCCAGGAGCTTTAAATAAACTCAATTTATTTCCAAGGACACGGTCCACATCCACACACGTGGGTAGCAATAAATAGCCTCGGGAATATTCGGGAAGGTCGAATTTACCTAAGGGATTTCCCGTTTGTTTTCTGAAACACAGCACATACTATGGCTTCGGCCGAGCTTTCGAGAGTAAAATGTACTTGTAATACTTAGGCAGAAAAAACTGGATTGGTAAGTTTCTGGGACGGACGAGGCCAGGGAGAGCATCTTACCACCAGAACTGGCTGGGGACTGCGCACCCTAGCCGCCCCCTTTCACCCAGATTCCCGACAGGCCCCGCGCCGCACTCGCTCCTCTTCCTTAGGCGCGGGTCCACCCTCCAGCTTCCGCCGCCAGCCCCGCTCGGAGAGCCTTAAAGGCTTCCGCGTCCTCGAAAGGTCGCGCTGCCGAAACTCTGTGGGCCCGAGGGAAGCGAAGCCTCTTCCGGGACCACCCCTCGGGACACGTCGGCCAAAGGAGGTCGTTAGACACTCTTTCCCAAACCGCCCAAGATCCTACTGGTCCGCGCTGGCTCGGAGCGAGCACGCAGCCCCCCACCCCCATCCTCCTTTTTCTTTACGGTACCCTTTTTAGGCAACCCGCTCCCCACCCACATCCACACCAGCGGGCGGGACCAGGGTGTGGGCGGGGCCAGACGGGTGTCGCTCCTCTGGGTTGGAGCACCCCTTAAGAGTCCCGGAGCTGCGCAGAGAATTGGAGACCGAGCAGCAGGATCAAGAGTCAACCATGGCAGCGATGTTTAGGCGATGCTGCGGGGTGAGAGACAGCAAGGCTCGGTGGGGTTGGGGAATGGTGGTTGTGGCGTTTGGAGGGGGGTGGGGGGGGGCGGAAGCTTGGGACGAAAAGAGGTGCTTCCCCGGGAGAGTAGGAAGCTGTGGTGAGGAAAGAGCTTATCGGACGCCTTGGCCTTCCTGACCTCACCGTTAGCTGCGGGTCTCAAGTCCGGATCCTCGCCTTGCTTTCACGCTTACCCTCTTCTCTTATTATCCAGTCCGGGCTTTCAATTTTGCCCTATCATCATCGCAACTCGTCGGTTCCTTTGTAGGCAGTCATTTTTCGGAATGTCCTTCATTTTCCCTCTGGCCTAGGAACTCTCTATATATTTCCCCCAGGAATCTCACCCTTTCCCGAAAGTAAACCGTGTCTAAATTGGGCAGGCATCTCAGAACGAGCAAAGGCCATGTTTTTGCAGTATATTTTGAGAAAACTCTCTACTGGCTTTATGCCTCCAGCCCAAGAAGAAATCATAAAGTAAATGTCATCATGCAATTGATACATGATAGAAAGTGCAGATTTCAGATACTCGTATCTTGAGTGCTTGCAAAGTTACGGAGGAAAAGGAAAGTAGAGCAGCTGCTTCTTGGGGTACTTAATGTATTTAATAATTGAGTTAAAGTTACGTTCTTGGCCCCCAAAAAAGTAGCTTTAGAATTTATAATAATTCTAATGGATTGCTGCCCAATATTTGTTATTGCTATACACGTTAATGGGCTCTGAAGGCAGAAATCTGGACATGTTAAAAATTATTTTTAACTCACACCAGAAAAAAAAGACCCGATTTCTCAATCTCCAATAAGGTATATAGAAAAACCTGATCCAGAAAACTTACACAGCTGTATCTCATCTTTGACACTCCCATAAAATTTAAGATTCTTACGTTCCTAAGAAATGGGAGAAAGCGTTTAATTATAATTGTGCTGGGAGGGCACCTGGGTGGCCCAGTTGGCTGAATTGAGGACTCAATTTTGGCCGAGGTTATGATCCCAGGGTTGTAGGATCCAGCCTGGCATCGGGCTCCATCCTGTTTGGGATATTCTCTCTCTCTTTCTTCCCCGTCCCCCAACACCCCCCTCTGCGTCTCTCCCCTGGTTGCTCACGAATGCTGTCTTGTGCTCTCTCTCTCTCTCTCTCAAAAATACATAAATAGTTTTAAAAATACATAGTTGTGCTATTATTGCAGAATTGATGCTTGACTGAGGTTGCCATCTCTTGGAGATTTGGAATTCCATTGTTCTGGGCAGAGATCCCAAAGTAATAAAATCAGTATTTATATGGCATTATGCTTCCAAGACATTTTCTTATTTTAATCATCTCAACAAATTATCCAGTAAGAAAAGCCTCATTTTCAAAGTTTGAAAAGAAGCTACAGGGAAGTTTGTAATTGGTCCAGGGTCTCAAAAATACTTGGGGAGTCTAGACACAAACCATTCTAAATCCAAATAATCTACAATTTCTATATTCTGTCTACTAAGCCACTTCTCTAAATGGATAACATTATTATATCATTAGATTGATGGGGATTGTCCCCAGGGTGTAGCTACTTTTATATTTTATATAACATTTTCCTGAAAAATAATATGTAAACTTTTTATAAATTATTTTAAACCCATTAATAATTTTCTTTTTTATTTCATTTTCATTTTTAATTTTTCAATTTTATTTTAGAGAGCGAGAGCGAGTGGGGGGAGAGGGGCAGAGACAGAGAGAATCCCAAGCAGGCTCCACACCAAGGGTAGAGCCCAATGTGGGGCTTGATCCACAACCCTGGGATCATGACCTGAACCGAAATCAAGAGGTAGACACTCAACCCACTGGGCCATCCAGGTGCCCCTCCACTAATAATTTTTGTATTTAAAGTCTCAGCAGACTTACTTATTTTGTGAGGTCTAATTTTTGTTCAGTAGTATGTAAACACACACTTAGAAGAGCCAAGTTTTTTGGTCTGATTTTTGTGGGATGTTTTTCTTTTTAGAATGTAATAACCGAATAGGAGACTTAAACTGAAAGAACAGATAGCAAGGTGGTTGATGGTATGGATTCTCTATAGTAAATGCTGCAGTTAGAATCCTGGTTCTACTATGTAATAGCAGAGTGACCTTGTCCAATTTCACTTGACCTTTCTGAGTCTCACTTTCTTCATAGGCAAAATAGGAATAAAAATAGTGCCTTAATCCTAGGCTAGACTTGGAGATTCAGTGAATTAATTGTGGAATGTGACTGTAAACAACTACAGGTTTCATCTATGATGTTTGAACAGTATGCATTAGAGAAACCATGTTTTACTGCCAAAATAAATTTAATGAAAATCGCAAAGAAAATATTAATTTTTATACTCTGGTTATTCTTTTCAAAATTGTATAAAGTGTTATTATTTTGAAAGGGTATTCATGATATTTGACTATCCATAATGTCACGTTAAATGTAGATGATTCTCTTTGTAAGCTGTGGTCATCTACAAAATAGACGGTTTGTTTTTACAGATTTCGAAAAATGTAAGTTCAGTTCTTTTTTTTTTAAGTTTATTTATTTTGAGAGAGAGAGTCCAAGCAGGGGAGGGACAGAGAGAGAGAGGGAGAGCGAGAATCCCAAGCAGGCTCTGAGGCTGACACTGGAGCTGGACTCCGAGCTCAAACTGAGGAACTATGAGATCATGACCTGAGCTGAAACCAAGAGTTGGATACCTAACCAACTGAGCCACCGAGGCTTTCCACCATTCTTTTTTTTTTTTAATTTTGTTTTTAAATGCTTATTCATTTTTGAGAGACAGAGTGCAAGTGGGGGTGGGGCAGAGACAGAGACAGAGACAGAGAGACAGAAAGACAGAGACACAGAATCCGAAGCAGGATCCAGGCTCTGCTGCACAGAGCCCTACACGGGGCTTGAACTCATGAACCATGAGATCATGACCTGAGCCGAAGTAGGATGCCTCACCCACTGAGACACCCAGGCATACCAGCAGCACCCCTTAGTTCTTAATCTTTTAGTATATTGTTCAGTTTCTCTTTTCTTTGGAATATTAGAATTGCCTATGGATATTTCCATCAAATACTTTGAAGCGTAAACTGTGTGATTTTGTTGTCCTCAAACATATACTTGGGAGTTCTAGTATGCTTTCCATTAACTTAAATAAATGCAAATGATTACTTTTATGTATATTCAACTATCATGAGTATAATAATGGATTGCAAAGGAATAATACATGTATATCTGATTATACTTTTTTTGATGAAATATGAGTATATTCCAGATATTAAGAAAAGTAGCCTATTAATAGTTTAGAACAGAGTTGGCAAATTTTTTTGTAAAGAGACAATAAATATTTTTGGCTTTGTGGACCATATGGTTTCTGGCAACTATACAACTATGCTGGAAAAGCAGCAGTAGACATGGTGTTCCAATAAAATCTTATTTACAAAACTGGTGACTGCCATAGTGTATCTTAGAATATTCTAAGAATGCTTACAGACAGCAGCAGAAAATAAATAGAACTCGTTTTAGGCTAATTTGTTTTGTTAAATAGTAGAAAATGGAATCCTCCAAGGGACAATTCCCAAAGGCATACCTGCAAGGCTCACCTGGGACAGGGTATCAAAGCTGATAGACTACACCATCCTATTGTTGCTCTCTCCCCAGCTTCTCAATCACAGATGTCCTAGAGCTTGTATGTGAGATTTCCAGAAAAGCGGTCCTAAGTCTGATACTACCCCTATTATTTGTCTTAGAGACACTCCACTTTAATACTATTGATTAGTTTTATTTTCATCACTTAAAAAAAAAAAATCTCTGCAATACATATTCAGACATCTGGTATGTGGCTTATTTAATATACAAATCAAATTATAGTTGAAGGCATTTAAGTAATGACTTATTGAATATAAATCACACAAGTTGCTGTACTCGTAATTGTCAATATTCTTTTATTTGATGTTTAATTCATCCAATTTATTTTAATAAAATTGTCCTTTACAGGTCCTAAAAAGTCTTTCTCGTTCTGACTGGAGATCACAGCATACAAAAGCTGCCGTACAACGTGAACCAGGATTGGGATTTAATTTTGGTATGTTTTGTTCTGTCTTTTGATTTTAAACATAGTTGTTGTATATATGCAGCTCTGTATATGTATTTGTCTGGAATATATGTATTTGTAAACATTTAGTAATGTCTAGTAATGAATAGAGCCACTGACCATCCACAGATTGTTCAGTCAGTCACACCCGTTCTTCCTGATCTCCTTTTCTTTTTCAGCCTAATATCCTACACATAGATCTGCGTTAGCAGGAGACATATATATCTGTGCCCTTTTCCCTAAGTTTATAGCCCTAAATAAACAACAAATTTACTGATACAGATAGTCTTCAAGTTAGAAATTTGAATGCAAAAAATATATTTTGAACATTTAGATACACAGTGCTAGCTTCCTGCTAATAAGCCAAAGCCTGTTTTGGCCCTGCTGTATCTGCACTGCAGTTTTGATGCCAATTGATAGGTTTAAAGTCTGGGATCAGGGAGTCATGTGGTATTGGAAGGGAAAGTAGTAAGATTTCTCTTCCCCTTTCCTCTCTAAAATGAAGACCTTAGGCAAAAAAATGGGTGCTATTTTTAGCATCCATTGTCTCCTAAAGTGCTTCTTCCTTCAAAATTATTACCTTTCTTTTAGTTGAAATCCATTATCTTTGGTTTCTTGATCTCAGAAAATAGGTAAAAGGCAGCTCAGATAACTAACTCCTAACCAGGTACAAATGACAAACTCAAAGCTCTCTAGGGTTATCCGTTTTTGTTTTTTATTTTTTAAGATTTTTAGCTTCTTTATAACGTATTTTAGAATTAAAAATTTCAAGCCACGTGAGGATAGGAGCTTGGGCCACTGGGTTTTCTTTCTTACTCTGTTATTAACATAGGTTAAGTATAAGTGCTATTTAGTTTCAGTTTGTCACATACAGATTCATAGTCAGTAGCAAGACACCAGCAGGAGAAATCTGTGGTGGTATGCTGGGTAACTGGATGAGATAGATATAGTATTTAGGAGGGAGGCTGAGAAACTTAAGAAAAGGAATAGAGATAACGTCTATGAGCAGTTGTATCCAGTTCTTTATAAAATGGAGATAATGTCTATAACACAGGATTTAAGATTGATATATATGTAAAATCCCTAGTACAGCATGACCGTATTTAAGTAGGTTCTCAATAAATAATACAAACTAGGTCTCTGTCTTCCCTCTCTTTTTATTCACCTGCAACCTTAGTATCTGCTGGCCCCAATGTTAAAAGTAAATTGTGGGGCACCGGGGTGGCTCAGTCAGTTAAGTGTCCAAATCTTGATTTTGGCTCAGGTCAGTGATCTCAAGATGGAGGGATTGAGCCCTGACAGCACAGAGCCCACTCCAGATTCTCTGTCTCCCTCTCTCTGTCCCACCCCCATCAAAGTAAATAAACTTAAAAAAAAAAAAATTGTGATGTAGACAACAGTGACTGAAACTCTTATGTATACTTTTACTGCTAACTCATTGTAAGACTGTGGGGCTATCATTTCCTCATTCTGGGCTTTTGTTTCCTTATCTATAAAATGAAAGATTTGATTTTAAGGCTATTCGATTCAACACCAAAATTCTCATGTCTTTTACATTTTATTTCTCACATCCCTATACAAATGATTATAGTATTGAGCATGTTTGCTCATTCTTATCTCTTTGCTTTTGCTTTTATTTTTCTTGCCCAAAATACCCTCTTATCTCTTTTGAATCTTACCTATCCTTTGATGTTGGATGCAATCACATTAAAACCCTGTAACAGTGTGGATTTAAAAAAATGAATATGGGAAGGGGGAAAAAAAGAAGAGAGGGAAACAAACCACAGACTCTTAATGATGGGGAACAAACTGAGGGTTGTTGGAGGGAGGTGGCTGGGAGGTGGGCCAGATGGGTGATGGGTATTAAGGAGGGGACTTGTTTTAATGAGTACTAGGTATTGTATGTAAGTGAATAATCAGTGAATTCTATGCCTGGAAAAAAAATTACATAGAAAAAAAAAAAGGGAAAAAAATGCAAATGACTGGCTCCAATCCTCAGTCCAGCCACCTTATTCACTCCATTAATTTTATAACAACAGAACCTCATATTTTATGTAATTGAATTAGAGTTTTATGTTAATGTTAACTTTTGAGAAACAGTCCCACATTTTACTAGTTGCTTTGTGCTAATTTTATAACCTCAAATTATCTCAGTTTAAAGGAAGAGTAAGGGGCGCCTGGGTGGCGCAGTCAAGTCAGTTAAGCGTCCGACTTCAGCCAGGTCACGATCTCGCGGTCCGTGAGTTCGAGCTCCGCGTCAGGCTCTGGGCTGATGGCTCAGAGCCTGGAGCCTGTTTCCGATTCTGTGTCTCCCTCTCTCTCTGCCCCTCCCCCGTTCATGCTCTGTCTCTCTCTGTCCCCAAAAAAATAAATAAACGTTGAAAAAAAAAATAAATAAATAAATAAAAAATAAAGGAAGAGTAAAATTTGAAATTATAGTGTTGGGATTCTTATATGATACTTTGTGTTGCGTCCACACAACTCCTGAAACAATGCTACAGGCACCAGTGACAGTCACAACAAAGTATATTGCAGTGAGAGGTAAGGCTGAGTGAGTGGGACTGACACTCTTGATCAGAGTGCGGCCTGGAACAGCCAGGATACAGAGTTTTTATAGCCTACCACATCGTCTTATCTTCACCTGGAAACAGAACAAAGAAATAGTTCCCAGATGGGGTTGGAAACAGTTCAGACACGCCCTTGCCACAATCTAATCAAACATTAATCCAGTTGATTTTCCTTGAACTTTTGTTCCCTTGATTGATGATAGGATAAGGCTGTTACCTCTTAACCTACAGTGTTAAAGCTGTTATTTCTCAAGGCTACAGGTTAGCCCTAACACTACAATTTAACCCTTACATTTTGGAACAAGTTTTGCTGGTTTATGGTCTCACCGAGCATGTCTCATCTCCCTAGACTGATTCTTGAGATCAGAGCATGTCTTACATAGTAGTTTCATTTCAGTGTTAGTAAACGTTTGGTAAATCTGCTTAGGAACTAGTAATAAGTAAAAACATTTTTTTTTACCCTCACCAATTGGAAGAGAAAAATGAGTTTATGTCTGTTACCCCTTGGTAAAAGCTAGAAATCTTAACCTACCTCCTTTGGTACTTGTGTTGACATAAATTTGTTTATATTATACAATGAAATCTTGCTAGTCTGAAAGTGCATTGTGGTCTTTGTGGTTTATTTGTGGACTTTCTGGTTAATCAAGGATTAAAGACTCCATTATAAATTTTTACATACTAATATCATAGGACTTTTTTCCTCAGCTCATTGTCTTATTTTAATGTTTTCTAAATGACTTTCTTTTAGAGCTCACTGAACAGCAGAAAGAGTTTCAAGCTACTGCTCGTAAATTTGCCAGGGAAGAAGTAATCCCAGTTGCTGCAGAGTATGATAAAACTGGCGAGGTAGTTATGTGCATTTTAAGGAGAAAAAAGTTTTTTTTACATTTTTATAAGATTATACAATTGAACTATCTAGATTTTAATGTAACTTTTTTTTTCTTTACCTTTCTCTTTCCTTTTAGTACCCTGTGCCCCTAATTAAAAAAGCATGGGAACTTGGTTTAATGAATACACACATTCCAGGGAGTTGTGGTAAGCTTTGTACACATTTTTTTACATTTTATTTATTTATTTTTAACATTTATTTATTAATTTTGAGAGACAGAGAGACAGAGCACAAGTGGGGGAGGGGCACAGGGAGAGGGGGAGACACAGAATCCCAAGTAGGCTCCAGGCTCTGAGCTGTCAGCACAGAGCCCATTGCGGGGCTCAAACTCACTAACTGCGAGATCATGACCTGAGCTGAAGTCAGATGCTTAACTGACTGAGCCACCCAGGGGCCTCTGTTCTCATTGTTTTTTAAGATTATTTATTTTGTGAGAAAGAGAGAGAGACAGGTTACACGCTCGAGCGAGTTAATGGGGGAAGGGCAGAGAGTGAGAATCCCCAGCAGGCTCCCCACTGTCAGCGTGAGCCTGGTAAGGGGCTTGAATTCATGAACCTTGAGATCATGACCTGAGCCAAAATCAAGAGTCAATGCTTAACCGACTGAGCCACCCAGGAGCCCCACTTTGTTCACATTTTTAATCCTAGAATGTATATGAATAGGAAAAAATTGCAAAACTCTACTTAGTCTTTCAAATATTAGTTGCCATTTATGTAAGTCATTTATGATAAAGGGCTTTTTGCCTTTATCTTTCTCTTTAGACTTCAGTATTTGCCTGCTTTTAGAAACCTTGTACTAATACCTAGAGGCATTTTTCCTTTTTTAAACTGGTTTCAACTATAACTTTATCCCTAAACGTTGGTAATTTCTCTCTAGAGTTGGTCAGTTTGTTGCAATTAATTCTACCTTTGATTTTACATTTTGTTAAGACTTTGTTTTCCTGTGAGGTTGTCACTCCTTCAGGTAAAAGAGCCAAAGTTTTGGCACAGTTGAATCAAGTTTTTACAAAATCCAGTTGAAACAGGAAGACAGGTGCAGATTACAAATAGAAAATTTTTTGAAATATTTAAAACTTATTTTGAATAAATATAATTTGTTACTGTGCTAACCAGAACACTTTTTTAGTTTCTTGTTAATTAAAATAGTTCACCTTTGGGGCTCCTGGATCGCTCAGTCAGTTAAGCATCCAACTTTGGCTCAGGGCATGATCTCATGGTTTGTGAGTTCGAGCCCCTCGCTGGGCTCTGTGCCAACAGCTCAGAGCCTGGAGCCTGTTTCAGATTCTGTGTCTCCCTCTCTCTCTGCCCCTCCCCAGCTTGTGCTCTCTCTGTCAAAAATAAATAAACATTAAAAAAAATTAAAATAGTTCACCTTTATTTCTGATGAGATAATACTACACATTATAATGGGCCTTAAAACATTTTGATACTACAGGAGGTCTTGGACTTGGAATTTTTGATGCTTGTTTAATTACTGAAGAATTGGCTTATGGATGTACAGGGGTTCAGACTTGTATTGAAGCAAATTCTTTGGGGGTAAGTTCCTTAGAAAATTAATTGTATAACTCAGGTGTTAATGAGATAGTAATGCTAGGTTAGGTTAGCTGGTGCAACACAATTTTCTTTAAAATGAACACAAGATTCTGCAGTGAAGGCTAGAATTCTTATTCCCGGAATTGATCATTCTGGCCCTGTTGTCTCCGTACTTGTAGTCCTCCCTGTCCTTGTGGGGAAATTGTACACTTTGGCTGCTGCTTCAGTGGCAATTTTTAGGTAAGGGCAAGGCCAAAAACCAGCATTCAGGAGAAGGATCAGGATGGCTTATTGCCACTGCTGGCAGTGCTGAATTTAGTGAGCAATTCTTAAGAGACCTGATCATACATACCACATCACTTATCCTAAATTTAATTCTTTGTGCATGTTACTACAGTAGATTTTTACATACTATATTGACAAATCCTATATAACTTTTATGAAAATACTGGACTAACAGATTTATTTCCTCATGGTTTTAACTGTCTTAAAGGAAGAATAAAGGCCAGTTCTTGGATTTACCCCTTGGGAAAAAGTAGTTCTCTGGTTTTGAATTATAGAATCTCTAAATTTACATACCTAATAAAAATATCTTGCTTTTTTCAATGTCACTTTTCTGTGGTAGCAAATGCCTATTATCATTGCTGGAAATGATCAACAACAAAAGAAGTATTTGGGGAGGATGACTGAGGAGCCAATGATGTGTGTGAGTATGTGCGGCTGCTCCTTTTTCCACATTTAAAGAAGGGAACAAGGGTACTATTTCTCCTTTCCAATCAATGTGTATACACTGGGCTAGAACACATTAAGACAGAAGTTAGCAGCATATTTAGATATAATGATGTTTCTGGGATGCCAAGAAAGTGTCATAATAATCCTCTTGCTTATTTTCAAGAGAAAGTTGTCTATTTAGGATGTTTCTGGGGTTCCAGACAAGTGTCATAATCATCTCCTAGCTCATTTCCAGGAAAGAAATACCTGTTTAATGGAGCACTCTGCAGTTCAAGAACTGAGTGATTGTGTCAAGAAGTTCAGATTGAACGTACGACAATAGATGTTTGAACTAGTAGTCTTTTGAACTAATAAGAAATTAATGGGACTGAAAAGTTAATCATTTTATTTGTTGAATGATTGAATGACTTGAGAATATTTATAGATTTTATTTCATTCTCTGGGCACTACTCAACAAATTTTTAAATTGGATCAAAAAAAGATATTTATAGGGGCTCCTGGCTGTTTCAGTTGGTAGAGCATGTGACTCTTGATCTCAGGGTCGAGAGTTCAAGCCCTGCATTGGGCATGGAGTCTATTTAAAAAAAAAAAAAAAAAAAAAAAAGATATTTATACATATATATACACACACACAGAAGATCTATTTTGAAAGTTTTTACATAAGGAATTTGACTTCTTTTGTTTATCAGTTGAATATATTTTCAATCTACAGTGTGATTGTGATCCCAAAATAGAGTAAATGGTTACTAGTTTTGAGGTAAATGGTAAAAATTGGTCTGAAAGAGTAGAAAGTAACATTTAAAAAAATCAATGTTTTTAATTTTAGGTACCTGAATTTTAGGCAAACTGCTTAATAAAAACATTTACATAAATCTCTTAATTGGTAACTTTTCAACAAATGAGAGTTTAGGAGACTAATTCTCAGTATTGTCTAAGAATTAGGTGAAAATTTAGATTGTATCCTGTAGCATATATAATACTAGAAATAGGGTAAAAAATTATAGCATAGAGATGCCTAGGAGAACCTACCCGAATGTACTGATAAGAATATTTGTAATTATTTTATTACTTATAAATTGGTATTTCTAAGATAAAAGTTTTTAAAAATAGTTCAAATATTTTAAACATTTTTTTGGCTATTTTGTTATGGATACCTTCAGTTTATGTAAAATTTATTCTAACTTCTGAATTAATAAAGGTTTACTATACATTTTCCCCGTTAGTGCATAATAGCAGTAAATGTACTCAAAATATGAAGCCAAGGGTGAAAATGAAAACAGTAGACATACTATGTCTTGATCCACAATTTACACAGTTATTTAGCTCCCAATAAATATTTATAAAATTATACTACATCTAATGTGTTTTCTTTAAATTTCTTAAAAAATATTTTTAACTTTTTTTATTATAAAACTATATATGGTCCCTCAGATAAGAAGTTAAGTGGTCTTGGGGCGCCTGGGTGGCTCAGTCGGTTGAGCGTCCGACTTCAGCTCAGGTCATGATCTCGCAGCTCATGAGTTCGAGCCCCATGTCAGGCTCTGTGCTGACAGCTCAGAGCCTGGAGCCTGCTTCAGATTCTGTGTCCCCCTCTCTCTCCGCCCCACCCCTGCTTGTGCTCTCTGTCTTTCAAAAATGAATAAACATTAAAAAAAAAAAAAAAGTTAAGTGGTCTTCCTCTCTTATTATATTTGCTGTCAGATATTGTGTGTGTGTGTCCTTGGGTGGGCACAAACCATGCTGTCAGATATTTTAATACATATAAATGTATTTTTAATAGTTAGAGTCATATTATATATGCAGTTTTATATCCTGTTTAACATGAGCATTTTCTTACATAATTTTTTAAATACTGCAGTGTTTTGAAAAATAAAAAATAAATTTTATTATATTTATTACTGTATAATATGTCACCTAATGGATGTACTGTAGTATAAATTATTTCACTATTCCCTATTTTTGGATATTTAAATTCCTTAGGTTTTGGCTTTTAAAAATAATGTCATGGTAAACATCAATACAGAAGAAGTTAATACAAGGTTTTGGATTTAACTTTGCAGTACAGATACACTGTCATTGCATATTCATAAAACTTAATCTCTTGCTTGGTGCAGTCAGATATACTCTGGATATACATCCTCAGATATACTGAGGAAGCAAGTACGGAGATAATTAAGGGCACTATAATTATTTTTCAATACCATATGGTATAAGAAAACTTTCAAAAATGAAAAGTAATTCTGTTATTGCATAGATATTATTATGTAAACTATTAAAATAATAAATTAGAAACAGTATTTCTATTTTTAAGTTTTGGGGGGGGATTTTAAGTAATCTTTATTACACCCAATGTGGGGCTCAAACCTACAACCCCCAGATCAAGGGTTGTATGCTCTACTGACTGAGCCAGCCAGGTGCCCCACAGAAACCATATTTCTTTTTTCAAGAATGGAGTAAGTATTTTATTAACGTTTATTTATTTTTGAGACAGAGAGAGATAGAGCATGAACGGGGGAGGGTCAGAGAGAGAGGGAGACACAGAATCAGAAACAGGCTCCAGGCTCTGAGCAGTCAGCACAGAGCCTGACATGGGGCTTGAACTCATGGACTGTGAGATCATGACCTGAGCCGAAGTCGGACGCTCAACCGACCGAGCCACCCAGGCGCCCCTGGAGTAAGTATTTTAAATGTATACCTGAAATATATGCAGTGTCAGACAGTTAGGAACAAGTATTTTTTTTTTTTAATGTTTATTTATTTTTTGAGAGAGACAGAGCAGGAGCAGGGGAGGGGGACAGAGAGGGGGAGACAGAATCCGAAACACTCCAGGCTCAGAGCTGTCAGCACAGAGTCTGATGCGGGGCTCGAACTCACAAACCGTGAGATCATGACCTGAGCCAAAGTCGGACGCCCAGCCGACTGAGCCACCCAGGTGCCCCCAGTTAGGAACAAGTATTAAACTGTTAGAGTAAGCTTGTTATGGGCAGGACTTTAAGTAAAGTTACTTTTCCAAGCATGGTCTTAGAACCTAGAAGTCTGTAAAAAGCTTGGTAATGGTGCAGAAAATTACTGCCATAAAATAATGCATTTCCAGTGGAGCTTAGAAGTAGCTGGAATGCAACTGAAACAAGACTGAATCTTGCTTCAAGTCTTGACTCAGCCATGTAATAGCAATGCGATCTCATTTGGTCATTTAACCTCATTGTCTCTTCTGAAAATAGGGAGTATAGTATTTAAAAGGGATATACTAAAGATAAAACAAAATACTTGTTTTTCTAAATAGTGTTCCTTTTGCAAAAATATATTAGAGAAGTTTCCATCGTACCTAATGACCAAAGGAAACTTCATTTCTCTTTAACTGCTATTCATTCATCCACTAATTTACTCAGTATGTGAATTGCCTGCTCTATGCCAGACTTCAGCTTATAGGCATTTCACACCTCAAAGTTATACTTTTAACTAGTATTTTTTTTGGCAAGATGGAAGCAGAGATCTAATTTTACAGTCCTCCATTAGTAATTATTTGAACCTCAAAGCATGTGGTATAGTATTTTTTTTTCTGGTTTTATCTTTATTTTCACCTCACTGCAAAAACATGTATTATATAAACTACCTGAAATCACTCTAGAGTATAAGGCAAAAAAATGTTTTTAATAGAAAATAAATGTAGAACTTCTTTGTAAACTATATATATACACATATATATGTATATATATGTGTATATATATGTATATATATGTGTGTGTATATGTATGTATATATATATATATGTAAGGTGGTGGTATCATCACTAATAGGTTACACTGTTGTACTCATTCATTCAAATGTCTTAATACTGTGCACCAGGGAATAAAAGTGAATAAATTTCGATCCTGGTCACAAGAAGTTAACAATCTGATAGACTCTCAGATCCTCATCCACAATGTATTAACTTACTATGCATAGAATTATGCAAATAAGTAAATAAATTATGCATAAAAATTACTGATTTACTTGATTTTTCTGGTTTGAATGGCAGCATTTACATATTATAAGTCAAACTAGTTACAATAGTGAGGATGACAAATGCCAGAGACATACTTATTAATAGGCATTAGGGATGCCAAATAGTGTACCTTTCCTACCCTCAGGAAGCGCTGTTAGAGCACAAGGGAGAAACACATGAATGACAATACTATATATAATACTGTGTAGTGTGATAAAGAAGAAAACAAGTTGCAGTTGAAATAAAAAAGAAGACTTCTGAAAGAGCATTATAAAATTAATTTTAATTACTAGGAAGCAATCCAATAAGACAACCGTGAAGAATTATCTGTAACAAGCCATTTTGTATAGAAACACACAGATCCGTATACTTCATAAGCTCTAAAAACTTTGCCTTATTATAGAGAAATGTCTAATAAGAATATTTCAGGGGAAAAAATTCCCACTGGTGGTTAAGATAAAATTTTAGTACTTTACAGAATTATCTTTTCCTGGACAGCTCATTGATACGGTATTTTTTGTTGTTGTTATAATGCTGAAAACATCTTTAAATCTGTAGGTAAGAGATCAATCTAGTTAACTCCTATGACACCTGAATCCCCTCTATAGCAACCCTGTCAAAAGGCCATCTTGCTCATGTTTTCAGTTTTCATGCTTGCAAGTCGAGCCTGCTAAAGTAGTTCCATTCAGGAACATTTCTGATAATTGGAAAGTGCTTCTAGATTATGTGGTCCTGAGGAAAAAGATTCTGTCATTTTTTTCATAATTTTGCCACTTCACAGTATAATATTCAGTAAAAGTTCAAATGATTTCACTGTAGTTCTGTCAATTCAAATTCTCTCCCTTGGCTGTATAGCCCCTGAGATATTTGAATATAGTTATCATGTAAATCTTTTCTAAGCTAATTATCACCAATTTTTTTTTAATTTTTATTTTTACAATAAAGTCCCATCATTAGTAACCACACTCTGAAATACAGAGTAAATACAATACTCTAGCATGAACTGATGAGTACAAGGTTGGAGGGTTCCATCACTCTTTTTTTTTTTTTTATGTTTATTTTCGAGAGAGAGACACAGAGAGCACAAGTGGGGGAGAGGCAGAGAGACAGACACAGAATCTGAAGCAGGCCTCCAGGCTCTGAGCTGTCAGCACAGAACCTGACATGGGGTTTGAACTCATAAACCATGAAATTGTGACCTGAGTCCAAGTTGGATGCTCAACCGACTAAGCCCACCCAGGTGTTTCTCTATCACTCTTATTTTAGGTATTTTATTATTTTATTTTATTTTATGTATATTATTTAGATACTGTTGTAAACATAGCTTATAGCATTAGCACTGTTGACTTATTTTTTTTTTTAAGTTTATTTATTTTGAGAGAGAGAGAGAGCATGAGTGGGGGAGAGGCAGAGAGAGGATGGGAGGGAGAGGATCCCAAGTAGGCTCTGCACTGTCCGCGCAGAGCTGAATGTGGGGCTAGAATTCACGAACTTTGAGATTATGACCTGAGCCACAACCGAGTTTAAGAGTTAGACACTTAACTGACTAAGCCACCCAGGCACCCCTAGCACTGTTGACTTACATAAATTTTACTCTTGACTTAAATTATGAAGTTCGTTTCCTCATCTGGCATTAAGTTGTGGTATATTTGTTGGGTAGTCTATTAACTCTAATTTCAGCCCTGGCTTCTCCCTTGAGCTTTACTCTTCTATATGTACTTGCCTTTAGACTTTTTTTTCTTGTCTAGACTTAAATAGCTTAAACTAAATATGTCCCAAACCAAATTGTCTTCTCTCCACTCCTTAGAACTACTTCCTTTCTAGGTTATCCCTAATTGGAAGTTGCCTAAACTAAAAAATTTGGTGATCATAACATCCTCTTTAGCTCCTGTCGTAGACTCTGGGTCTGGAGTTCTCTCTTGTCCAGCAAGAGAGCAGACACAAGATTAGAATGCAAAAGAGGCTAATACCTGAGAGGAGATAAGAGCCCTAAGGGTCCTTGCTCCGTTTTTATTAGGATCAGAAGGCTTACAAGCATGATGGATGTGCACACAGAGACCATGAAACTGTGAACATTAACTCATGGGTGTGGGGGAAGGGGGGGTTTAAGATATTCAGTATTAGGGGTTTGAGTCAATACAAAACAAAATCCTGGCACTGGGTGGAAGGTTGTTAACAGACGTGAGGCACCACCTCTGTTTACCTAAACTGGCCTAGGGGACAAGAAGGAGCATGCTACCTCAGGGTCAACAAGGCACTTTTCTTTTGCTAACTAGGCTCTGCTCTGGGCAACTTCACCCTGCTGTAGTCTAAAGTCCAGTTTACCTGTTTACCTATTTTGGTTCTTCCTTTTTGTGAAAGCAGCTTTCTGCTATTGTAGAAAGTTGAGGGGTGCTAACGCCCTGAATACCTAATCTTGTTTACCTCATCTTGGATGTTTTCATCCTGAGATTTCCTATTCCTATGCTTTTGTCCTATACTGGGGGCCTTTGCCCTGTTTACCTAATCTTGGATGCATTCATGCTATGGTTTTCTATTTCTTTATGCCTTGTTAACCTATCTGTGCAAGCTCAGAGAATTCCTAAGCTTATTCCCCACAAGCTCCCCAACATCCCATTTAGTCATCATGTCCTGTAGATTTCACACCACAGTTCTCTCCATTTTTTCTTGTTTCTTAGTTAAAGCTTTATTTCTTGCTTGTACTATTGCAAAGCCTTCTAATCTGTGTCTCTGACTCCAGTCTTATGTGGGTACTTCTGCTATTTACTAGCTTTGTGAACTTGGGCAAATTAGTCTCACTATGCCTCAGTTTCCTTATTCGTAAAATGTAGATACCTGGTACCTATGCCATATGATTTGTTATTCCCCCTTAAATCCACCCTTGATAGTATTGGGGTATTTTTTGTTTTTTTAAGTAGGCTCCACACCTAACATGGAGCTTGAATTCATGACCCCAAGATCAAGAGTTGCATGTTCTACTGACCAAGCCAGCCAGACACTCCAACATTGGGGTTTTTTTTTTGTTTGTTTGTTTTGGTTTTTTTTTGGTTTTTGGTTTTTGGGGGTTTTTTTAGTAGGTTCCAGGCCCAACATGAGGCTTGAACTCACGACCCTGAGATCAACTGTTTCACACTTCACATTCTAGTACTGAACTGTAGTAGTTTCTTCTGTACAACTGCTATTTTATTGCTTGCCTCACTTACTCATCCTTAAAACTTATCTTTTCAGGGGCACCTGGTTTGCTCAGTTGGTTAAGTGTCTAACTCTTGATTTTGGCTCAGGTCATAATCTCAGTTCTTGGGTTCAAGCCCCACATCAGGCTCTGCATTTGTGGAGCCTGCTTGGGATTCTCTCTCCCTGTCTCTGCCCCACCCCCACTTGTTCGTTCTCTCTCTCTCGCTCTCTCTCTCAATAATAAACTTTAAAAAAATAAATAAATGTTTTTACATTTCAGCAGTTTATTTGATTCTCTAAGAACATATTATTTTTAGGTATTTAAAAATATTTAACACTGTGGCTTGAAAAATAAAATGCACTCCTGGTTTTAAACATTCACAGTCTAATAATATTTAATTTTTTTTCTGTTGTTTCCATACATTTAAGGCCTACTGTGTAACAGAACCTGGAGCTGGCTCTGATGTTGCTAGTATAAAGACCAAAGCAGAAAAAAAAGGAGATGAATATATTATTAATGGTCAGAAGATGTGGATAACCAATGGAGGAAAAGCTAATTGGTGTGTTGTTTAAACATCTCTGTATATTGCTTGTTAATTACTTTATATTCAAAATCTTCCCTCCCTCCTTTCATTTATTATTAAAACACCACAATTAAGGTAAGTTGTATTCATGGAACTAGAATGTCCGCAAAAATTATAAATAGTTCAATATATAATGTTTATTTATTTTTTAGAGAGAAGGAGAGTGTGAGCAGGGGAGGGGCAGAGAGAGAGGGAGACACAGAATCTGAAGCAGGCTGCAGGCTGCAGGCTGCAGGCTCCAGGCTTAGCACAGAGCCTAACGCAGGGCTCTAACCCACGAAACGTGAGATCATGACCTGAGCTGAAGTCAGATGTTTAACCGACTGAGCCACCCAGGCACCCCTAGTTCAATCTTTTTAAAAACTATTTTTAAGCCTTGAATTATTTCTTCAAACTAACTCTTCAGAAGTTTAATTTATAAAAGCAAATAGAACAAAAACACCTGCTCTGGTTGAATGTGGTTAGGAAAGCCAGAGCTCTGTCTACTTGGCTCTGTCCTTCTCCACATCTGTACCCTATACCAGTACCTCCTTGAAAATGTTTTCCTAAGACTGAGGAAAAAGGAAAACCATTGGTAGGGTACATTTCCCTGGTTCTGAACAATAAGCAAAGGCAATCTTAAAACTCAGATTATCTTTTAGAGGAGACAAAGTATTACTGTAGTGAAATCTAAAGGTCCAAATGTATAGGTCCAAAAATAATGACATGAAGTTCAACAAAGGATCATAAAATCACTTGTATAAATATAAAATGTTGAAGAACATATTTATACCATTACTTTTAGAAAAAAAAAGGAAGTAAAGTGGATAACTGTAGTTTTAGTAGAAATCAACAGTGTGATGTATCTGCCTTTAAGAAGCTAACCTAGGGGTGCCTGGGTGGCTCAGTCAGTTAAGCCTCCAATTTCAGCTCAGGTCATGATCTTATGGTTTGGGAGTTTCAGCCCAACATCAGGCTCTCTGCTGTCAGTGCAGAGCCCACTTCGGATCCTCTGTCTCCCTCTCTCTCTGCCCCTTCCCCCTTTGCACTCCCTCTTTCCCTCTCTCAAAAGTAAGTAAACAATTTTTTTAAAAAAGAAGCTAATGTAACTTCTTGCTGAAATGATAGAAGTATAGCTAGCACAAATGAGGAAAAAAATGGTAACAATTCTGTATGATACATTTTAAGAGCTATATTGACAAAATGAAATAAATTCAGAAGCAACTAAGTATCCTCCATTGGGAGGCATGTAGAAAATATGTGCTGTGAAGAGTGAAGGAATTAAGTTTGATTATTTAGAAAATTTTTGAGAGTTTTGAAATAATGTCACACAGAAAGAAGAGCAGGCTTGTGCATTTGCTTTAGGAAGCCTGTTTAGAATTAATGGGTAAAGGTTAGAAAAATGAAGACTATAGCTCGACATAAGGACAAGCTTTCCAACAACATTGCCATCCAATGTGTGTTAGGTTGTCATGGAAAATAATGTATTTACCCATCACTACAAATACGCAAGAATGTAGACAGAGACTTCCCTAGAACAAGGACTCTGTGGTGATTGGAATAATGAACCAAAAGGGCTATCTTCCCTTGTCTGCAAAAATTCTTATTCAATATATATGTGTGCTGGGGGCTCCTGAATGGCTCAGTTGGTTAAGTGTCTGACTCTTGATTTCAGCTCAGGTCATGACCTCACAGTTCATGAGATCAAGCCCTGCACTGGGCTCTGGACTGACAGCACAGAGCCTGCTTGGGATTCTCTGTCTCCCTCTCTCTCTGCCCCTCCCCCATTCATTTGTGCACTCTTACACTCTCTGTCCCTCAAAGTAAATACATAAACATTAAGAATATATGTGTGCACATGCGTGTGTGTGCTCTGCAGTGCAGTTTTCTGGCAAGTAAACATTTTTCCTGGAGATGAGCCTACTGGGAAGTTATTTAATTTAAACATAACCCCTCTATGACTGTCCAGTACTAAGGAATGCTAGATCATTATTTTAAAGTCCTCATAACATCCAAAAGTAATAAGTGAAGAAACCATTCAAATTTAACAAATTGAGAGAAATTTAACAGTGCAATTAGAAGTTTTCATAATTTTGAGGCTGCTGGGTGGCTCAGTTGGTTAAGCATCTGACTTAGGCTCAGGTCATGATCTTGCGGTTCGTGGGTTCGAGCTCCACATCAGACTGTGTGCTGACAGCTCTGAGGCTGGAGCTTGCTTCAGATTCTCCCTCTCTCCCCCTCCCCAACTCACGCTGTGCCTCTCTCAAAAATAAAACATTTAAAAAATTTTTTTAAAGTTTTCATAATTTTAAGAACTCATTAAGTACAACTCGTAGTAAAACAAATTAGGTAATATGTGAAACTAGAAAACAGTTTCTCTTTTTTACTATTAAGTGAAATTGTAGAGTGAATAATTTATTAATGTTAAGCATAGAAAATAAATTTGGTATTTAAGGAATTCTTTAAAAATTCTCCTATATCAGGCTTTTTAGAACATGGGTTACATGGATATTTGGATGTTTTAGTTTTAATACTTCATGTTCCATTTTAAAATCTTTCTGGGAAAAATTCTTCTGGAGGGAGAACCTAGCAAATATTCATAACAACTCAGTATAACAAAAACACTGATTTTGCTGCAAAAAAGAGGATAGTAGGTAAAATGTAGGGGTCATCATCTCATATTATTCCTTTCACAGGCAGCCCTATTTATTGTTCTTTTCCAGATAGCTTGTCCTTTAAATAATGAAACTAGTTTTGGGAAAGAAAAAGTACCATTTCCATCACAGCACATACTTATTTTTTAGATTACATAATCTAAAAGGAATACAAGGAATTTTTACTTATAACTCATACTTCTAAATAAAGTTAAATACCATATTATTTAAGTAGACCTGGGTTGGGGCACCTGGGTGGCTCAGTCAGTTAAGCGTCTGACTTAGGCTCAGGTCATGGTCTCACAGTTTGTAAGTTCGAGCTCAGCGTCAGGCTCTGTGCGGACAGCTGGGAGCCTGGAGCCTGCTTCAGATTCCGTGTCTCCCTCTCTCTCCGCCCCTCCCCCTCTCATGCTCTATCTCTGTCTCTCAAAAATAAACAAACATTAAAAAAAAAAAAAAAAAGTAGACCTGGGTTAAAATACTAGCTCTGTCACATCATGAATATCTGACTCAAGCAAGCTTCTAAATTTTTTTTTAATGTTTTTATTTATTTTTGAGAGAGGGAGTGCACGAGTGGGAGCTGAGAGACAGAGGATTGAAAGTGGGCTCTTGTGCTGACAGCAGCGAGTCTGATGTGGGGCTCGAATTCAACAAACTGAGATCATGATGGGAGCCAAGTCAGACACTCAACTGACTGAGCCACCCAGGTTCCCCTACACCTCTCTGATTCTTTATTTCATCATCTGTAAAACAAGGGAATAATAATTGGGGTTTTGGGGGGAATTAAATGAGACAGCCATCAGTGTGTGTTATCTGTTGAGGTCATTATCATTGTATTTATATCATGTATATATATTAGGTATTTCTTATTGGCTCGTTCTGATCCGGATCCTAAGACTCCTGCTGGTAAAGCCTTTACTGGATTTATTGTGGAAGCAGATACCCCAGGAGTGCAGATTGGAAGAAAGGTAAAGTGTATATTTATCAGTGATTAAGGTTTCAAATACTACTTTAGGTATACATTTCAAAATTACTATTTCAGTTTCCTTTATTGAAACCATTTTTTTTGTAGTAAATTGCAAAAAAATAAAGCTGGTTTTTGTTTAAGTTTTTATTTTAATTCCAGTTAACATACAGTGTTATATTAGTTTCAGGTGTACAATTTAGTGATTCAGCACTTCCATACATCACTCTGTGTTCATCACAAGTGCACTCCTCAGGTGGCTCAGTCGGTTAAGCGGCCGACTTCGGTTCAGGTCATGATCTCACGGTCCGTGAGTTTGAGCCCCGCGTCGGGCTCTGTGCTGACAGCTCAGAGCCTGAGCCTGTTTCAGATTCTGTGTCTGCCTCTCTCTGACCCTCCCCCGTTCATGCTCTGTCTCTCTCTGTCTCAAAAATAAATAAACGTTAAAAAAAAAAAATTTAAAACAAACAAGTGCACTCCTTAATCCCCATCACCTATTTAACCCATCCCTAAACATAAAACTGTTTTGGTGTTATCAGGTGAAATAGTCTATATATTGCTGAAGATTTTAAGTTGAGGATAATCCTTGTGATTCATTATCTGAAAAAGTGGCCATTCATGGTTCCAGTCTATAGAGAATGCTAACAACAGCTGTGAGGGTTAATGAAGCAGAAATCAAACTGTCATTTATATGGCCTGCCCAATAATAGAGTTTTAGACATTTCCAAAGACGTTCCCACCCTTTTCCTTCCTCACAGCAGCCTTTTAGGTTAGGATAACTGGGATTATGCCCCTTTTTGATTAAAACAATACCTACGGTCATAAGAGAAAAATCTGTGCTTTGAGGAAAGTGTGGAAATGGTAAAGAGCCTTGAATGTGGGAAGGCAAGGAAAATTTTATTTAAATAAGAAAAGGTAATTTAATGTATTTGAAAATGACTATAACTTGAGTGTGTGGAGATAATTTAGCAGTAGCATTTAAAGTAGACTAAAGAAAAGAGTTTAAAATTTAACAAATCAAAGTAGGAAAGAAATGAAGTCATTAAAGTAGTCCTAGTGAGAGCTAAGTAAATATGATTAAGATTTAACTCTGAGAACAGAAAGAGAAGACTCAATTTTACAATTGTAAAACTCTTCTTTGCAAAATGAATTTGTAAAAAAGAAAACCTATTAATGACCAAATACTGTCTATATTGAAGGCAAAGGAGAAATTATGGAGGTTTATTAAGAGTTCCTAAAGGTTACATGAATATATATTCTTCATGGGGAATGGTACATATTACCCAGTGAGATATTAGACTAAGGGTGGCGTAACCTGAACTGGAAAGGCTAATCTGAATTGACCAACTTATGCAAACTTCTGAACCAGTCATGTGTATTCATATAATGCACGTTTTATTAAAAGCCATCAGAATCTCTCTGTTGTACCCACGCCTCTTGAAAATGGAAACAATTGGGGAAAAAAAAATGGAAACATGGTAGAATATATGAGGGGTAACTTTTCTTTTAGGTCGTAGAATATTAAAGGTGGAAGATGTACACGATATTTCAGTCTGTTTATTGAATATTGAAACGGAGATCCAAGTAAATGATTTACTTAGTGTAACACACTCAGAGGTGGAGTTGAGATCACTACTGAGGTGTCCGAGGAACTTGCCCAATGTGGTTGCTGACACTATTTTTCTCTATTTTAAGAGTAGCTATTATAGACTGCACTTTATAAATAAAACTATAGTGAGGTTGTTGTATATAACAAAGTATAAGAATGGATGTGCTTCTTCCAAGCAAATTTTTTTTTTAATGTTTATTTATTTTTGAGAGAGAGAGAATGAGCGGGCAAGGGGCAGAAAGAGAAGGAGACACAGAATCGAAAGCAGGCTTTACGCTCTGAGCTATCAGCACAGCCTGACATACGGATCGAACTCATGAATGGCGAGATCATGACCTGAGCCAAAGTCGGACACTTAACCCACTGAGCCACCCAGGCGCTATTTATGTTTTATTCATGTTTCTTTTTTAGGGATGGTTGCTAGAAAACTTAGGGCCAATTTTTTTTTTTTTTAATGTTTGTTTATTTTTGAGACAGAGACAGAGCATGAACGGGGGAGGGTCAGAGAGAGAGGGAGACACAGAATCTGAAACAGGCTCCAGGCTCCGAGCTGTCAGAGCCCGATGCAGGGCTCAAACTCATGGACCATGAGATCATGACATGAGCCAAAGTCGGGCGCTTAACCAACTGAGCCACCCAGGCACCCCACCAATTAGGGCCAAATTGATGGCCATCTCTAGAAAGTGTGAAGGACCAAATAGCTTATACTTTTTTCAGTAGTAAACTCACTTTCCATTGTATTATGTTGTTTCTAGTCTCATTAATTTTTTCTCAGTTTTCCCACTTAAAAAAAAAAATCTCTAATTCAATAAATACTTATTATTGAGTTAATACTTAGCACTATTGTGGTGTTGGGGATACTGTATGGATCAAAACAGACAAAAATCCCTGCCCTTGGGGAGCTTACTTTCTAATGAGAGAGATAGATAATTATATTGTATAAACTTAAACTCCTTAAATCTTTTTTTTTTGAAATATATGGGCATTTTACAAATTTGTGAAATTTGATACTTAAAAATTTTTTTTGTTTTAGAAATTATCTGGCTTGAGATGAGTCCAGCAAGCATTTTGGTTTTAAATGCTCTAGTGTTTGGAGTGAGTCTGGGAAACAGGATAAACTGTTTTCATAAACAGTGTTTTCTCATTATATTAAGTAAGGGTCTAAGGCACTAGAGTTTATTGACTTATAAAGACAAAAAAAGAAAGATGTTGGTTTCTTTCTTGGTAAAACTGTATATTATTGTTACTATTTCTTCAAGCCTAGAAGCGGATGATTAATATTAAAGCAAGCAAGCAAAAGAGCTCGTTTACAGCTATGTATTCCCATTTCCCCTGCTTCTATTACTGCTTATTAAAAATTAGATTAAAATGTTTTTTCCTTAAGGAGAAGAGTCACAATATCTGCAACTCCCTCTCAGCTATTCAGCAAATAATGCTAATAGTTACACACACAAAACACAGAAACAAAGCAAATGTGACAAAATGTTAATAATGGGTGAATTGAGATAAAGGGTACATAGGTATTTGTTATACTACTCCCATAGGCCTTCTGTTGGTTTGAAATTTTTTGAAGTAAAAAATTGAGGGAATATATATAGCTACTTTGGTAGTTTCTTATAAAGTTAAATATTCATTTACCACATACCCAGCACTCTTAGGTATTTATCCAAGAGTGAAAACAAAGGCCTATACACAAATGTTTGTAGCAACTTTATATAATTGCTAAAAACTGGAGTAGAAGGGGAATGTCCAACTGGTGAACAGATAATGGATATGTGATCCATCCATATAGTGGAATACTACTCAGCAGTAAAAGAAATAAATTACTGAGCAGAAGCAATATGGATGGATCTCAGAAGCACTCTGCTAAGTGAAAAGTCAGTCATTATTATTCTACTTATATGATATTCTGGAAAAGGAAAACTTATATGGACAGAAATCAGATCACTGGTTGCTTCAGATTGGGTTAAAGTAAGGGTATTGACTAAAAAGGAGCACAAGGGAATTTTTGGGGGTGCTGAAATAGTCTGTCTTGACTGTGGTAGTGGTTCCACTACTATGTACCACTACTATGTATTTTGACAAATACATAATGCATTTGTCAAAATTGTTAGAAATTTTAAAGAGGGTGAATTTTCCGGTATGTAAATTCTACTTCAGTAAACCTAATTTTAAGAACAAGTTGGTACATTACTTTGCTTGCTAGCTCTATTAAGCTGAAATTAAACATCCCAAATCAGATTATGTTTGCTAAATGCTTTTGCTGACATTCATGGTAAAAAAGATAGCCTTCAAACATGATGAAACTTGTCTTTGTAAGGTAATATGTACATGTAGACCTTTAGAGTATTGTTGGTTTCAAAGTTTGGGGAACAATTGTTTTAGACTAGGGGTTGACAAACTTTTTATAAAGATCCATATTATAGAAGCGCCTAGGTGGCTCAGTCAGTTAAGCGTCCAATTTCGGCTCAGGTCATGATCTCACAGTTCATCTGTACTGACAGCTCAGAGCCTGGATCCTGCTTCAGATTCTGTGTCTCCCTCTCTCTCTGCCCCTCCCCATTCACGCTCTCTCTCTCAAAAAATAAAAGTAAAAAAAGATCCAGATTATAAACATTTTAGACTTTGAGAGCCATAAGGTCTGTGTCCTAGCTACTCAATTCTGCTGTATCAAGAAAGTAGTCATAGATTATATGTAAACAAATAGGTATTGACTCTTCCAATAAAGCTTTCTTTACAAAACAGGCGTAAACCATTGTTTGTCAACCCGTTTTAGATAATTGCAGAAAATCCTAAAACAGGTTAAAGCAAAAATTCATGCCAGCTCAAAAAGTGTTCCTTAACATACCTTGTTTTCCTCATTAGGAATTAAATATGGGTCAGCGATGTTCAGATACAAGAGGAATTGTCTTTGAAGATGTGAAAGTGCCTAAAGAAAATGTTTTAATTGGTGAGGGAGCTGGTTTTAAAATTGCAATGGGAGCTTTTGATAAAACCAGACCACCAGTAAGTAATATCAATGACCTGATAATCTTTATAGGATCTTTTTTTTTTTTTAGGATCTTCTTTTATTCATTACATTCAGTTTTATTTATACATGGCGTATCTGGTGTGCATTTCTTTTAAAATATTTACTTCTTTTATTAAGGATGGAGAGATACTGTCATTTTTCTTTATTTTTTAGAATTCTTCAACTGTCTTGCCACCTGTTATTTTAGCAAATACAAAATTTTTGTAGTCACTGCTAGATTTACAGACAGGCAGTCCATACTTAATCATTCCTGCTAATAGGTGCTCATTTCCTTTTCCCTTACTCAGTAGGAATATTTCCCCTAAGAAGCTTTCCCTTGTTAAACAGAAGAAATGACTTGTCTCTAGGGTATGGTCTTGTGCCTCACTAATGCCTTTAATTTATACAATATAAATTTAAATGCTTGTTCTCCCCCATCCCTTCTTTTGTGGCCTGAATGTATAGTCATTTTCTCTTTGTATAATCCTTCATTTAGAATTTACGCAAATGGCCATTGTACTGTGTTTTAAAGACAACGTGAATTTTTGCTTCGTAAAATATTAAACCAACAGGTAGCAGCTGGTGCTGTGGGACTAGCACAAAGGGCTTTGGATGAAGCTACCAAGTATGCCTTGGAGAGGAAAACTTTTGGAAAGCTGCTTGTAGAGGTAATTTTTATTTTTTAATTTTAATTTTTTTATTTTATTTATTTCTGAGAGAGAGAGACAGTGTGAGTGGGGGAGGGGCCGAGAGAGAGGGAGACACAGAATCTGAAGCAGGCTCCAGGCTCCCAGCTATCAGCACAGAGCCCACCATGTGGCTCAAACCCACGAACCATGAGATCATGACCTGAGCTTAACTCAATGAGCCACCCAGGCGCCTTTAGAGGTAATTTTCACACTCAGATAAAAATCTGAGTTCAAATCACACTGAAATTAAAATCCAGAGTCCTTACAATGGGCTTCTATCAACCACACTGGCCTTTTGCTTGTATTTACTTTTACTCTTCCCGCCCCCCGAAAATCTACTTCCTCACTCATTTCACTAGAGAATCTACCCTAGTCACCCAATGAAAAATAATATCTCCAACGTTCTATATACTAATCCCACTTGTTTGGTTTTTTTTTTCATAGTTCTTAACACCACTCAACATTATATCATGTATGTGTTTGTTTATTATTTCTCCTAACTCACTTGAATGTTATACTGCTAGTACTTAGGATATATTTCCACTATGAACTTCTATTTCATGCATTCAACAAATAGTAATTGAACACCTACTATATTAAAATACTAATAACTGGATGCTTTCTCTGTTCCAAGCACTATTCTAAGGGTTTTAAATGTATTAACTCATCTAATCTTCACAGTACTGTGGAGTGGGGAGTTTTAGTCCCATTTACCACATGTATAAACATTACGTCCAACCTCATATATAATGGAAACAAGATTTGAACCCAAGTAGTCACTTAAAGAGTGTGTTCTTTTGCACACTACATGTGCTATTTCTGTGAAAGAAAAGAAGTTTGACATAGTCTCTGTGCTCAGAGACTTTAGAGATGGAGATATGATACATATCTTAAAACAAGTATTAAGAAATAATACAGAGCAATATAAGATTAAATCTCTAAATGAAAGCTATGGACAGGGTTAGAGAAACCAAGAGGAGAGACTGTTGTGGGTGGGCCAGACACATTACAGGGATTCTGAGTTGTATTTAGAACAGGGTTTCTCAAAGCATAGGCTGAAAAGAAACTGAATGAGACTCATTGGGATTTTTTCATCAGAATCTCACAAGAGAAGAATGTGCCTCTTACACCAGGTTGCCAAGGCTGTGGTGAAATAAGTGTTTCTATATATGGCCAGTGGAAATATAATTTGGTGTAACTTTTATGAACCATATTTTTGCAATATATATCAAAAGTACCTAATTTTGGGCCCACAGTACAGTGGTTATCCTACAACTGTATTTCATAAGATAGGTATCTTTCAGATATACTCCATATGGACAGTATAACATACCTATAGCTTATTCATTTCAGCATTGTGTAGAAACAGCCAAATATAGAAACAACCAAGATGTTGATCATCCATACAGTGGAATACTTTGAAGCTATAAAAAAGGATAAAGAAGCTCTTTATGTATTAATATAGAAAGCACTCAGATTTATTGATAAGAAAAGCAAGGGGCATCTGGGTGGCTCAGTCGAATAAGGTCTGACTTTGGCTCAGGTCATAATCTCATGGTTCATGAGTTTGAGTTCTGAGTTGGGCTCTGTGCTGACAGCTTAGAGCCTGGACCCTGCTTCAGATCCTGTGTCTCCCTCTCTGTCTGTCCCTCCCCCCACTCACACTCTGTCTCTATCTGTCTGTCTCTCTCTCACAAATAAACATTAAAAAAATTTTTTTTTAATAAAAAATAATTAAAAAATAAAAACTTTTAAAAAAGCAAAATGAAGAACCATCAACATAGCAGGCAAGTATATGTGTAAAAAAGGGAGAGACTATGGATGTATTTGCTTATCTGTGTATATAATATCTCTGAGAAGATGAAAACAGTTCATCTGTTTACCTCTAGGAAGGGGAATTAAATGGGGTTGGGGAGGGCAGGATGATAGAAGGAAGAAAGGTTAAAATTCAAACTGGTGGATGGGTTACCTATTCAAAAAACAGTAAAAACTAAAAACAAAACAACTTGAAAGAATCATTGGCTTAGAAGAATGGGCACAATCAGGCAGGTAGAAGTAAGGGAGGATATTACTCTCCTTGTTCCACATATGAATTATTTACATTAATAATTGTCTCCTCTTAAGACTCAATTACCATGCTAATCTCAACATTTATTTTTGGGACAGAGAGAGACAGAGCATGAACGGGGGAGGGGCAGAGAGAGAGGGAGACACAGAATCGGAAACGGGCTCCAGGCTCTGAGCCATCAGCCCAGAGCCCGACGCGGGGCTCGAATTCACGGACCGCGAGATCGTGACCTGGCTGAAGTCGGACGCTTAACCGACTGCGCCACCCAGGCGCCCCTTACCATGCTAATCTCAAGCAGCTTGTCACATTCTAAAGTAGTGTGTGTGTGTGTGTGTTTTTTAATACAGTAAATATAAGAAATTGAACAGCTTAGTTTTTTGTATGTTGTGACCTTTGGTTCATATTAGTCTGTACACAGTCATAAGTTGTATGGTTTTTATAACCTCTTGGTCTTCAAAACCCATTTTGATGTTGCCTACTACAGAAAGCATCTTCTTAATCATTTTAGTATTTTTGTTTCTGAATGCCTATAAGCCTTCTTTTAATATGTATTATTTTAAAGCATATGTTCCATTCCATGTTCAGTGTGGAATAATTTATGTTATACAGTGTGTGTAAAATTGAGTAATAAAATTGCTACATGATCCCATTGTCCAGAGATAATTAGAGTGACCATCTTGCTGTATATTCTTTGTTTCTATGAATTTATTTTTCAAAAGCTTCAACCATACAGTATGTTTGAAATTTTTACCAATCAATACATGGTGATGTATTTCTATCCTATACCATTGTGGCCATACAACTCATAGGACACTTACTGTCTTATTGAAGGTACTTGTCTTAGGTCTCCTCTTTGATTATGAACCTCTACTAGAGGGAGAATAAGAAGCATCTTTTATTTGTCTTTGTCATGGCACTTACTTTCCTCTGTCAGCATCTGATACACTGCCACATTATTTTTCACTGTATCTATAATAATGTTCTTTGAAAAGTCCCAGCAGGGGCACATGGCTGGCTCAATCGGTAGAGCATGTGACTCTTGATCTCAGGGTTGTGAGTTCAAGTCCCATGTTGGGTATAGAGTTTACTGAAAAATACATACATAGATACATTAAAAAAAAAAAAATCCCAGCAGATACCCAAAAGGATACATATAATTTTCGTGGTATTTTGCAAAAATGCATAACTTCATTCCAGCTCTGAGAAAACATCAAACAAACCCAAGCTGAGGGACATTCTACAAAAAAAACAACAACCACTCAGTGTTCTTTAGCAGTGCCAAGGTCATGAAAGACAAGGAAAAATTAAAGAATCCTAACAGCTTGGGGGAGACTAAGAAGAAATAACAGTTGAAATGTTGGATGGGATCCTTGAACCAAAAAAAAAAAAAAAAAAAAAAAAAAGGACATTGGTGGAAAACTTGGCCAAATTTGAACAAAGTTTATAGTTTAGTTGATAATACACTAGTAATGTTAATGGTTAATATCCTAGTAATATTAATGGTTGATCATTACATTATGGTTAGGCAATATGTTACCATTAGAGGAGGCAGAGTGTAATTTTCTAAGTCTAATATTAGTTTTAAAGTTAAAACAAAAAAAAAAGTTCCAGGAGAAGAACGTTTAAAAAGTTTTTTTAGTGGGGTGCCTGGGTGTCTCAGTAGGTTGAGCATCCAACTTCTGCTCAGGTCATAATCTCACCTTTCTGGAATGTAAGCCCTGCATGGGGCTTGCTTCTATCCATGAAAAGCCTGCTTCAGATCCTTTCCCCACTACCCGCTCCCCCCCCCCCCGCCTGCCCCTCACCCTCTTGAGTGCTCAAGCTCTCTCTCAGAAATATATTAACATTAAAAAAAAGATTTTTTAGTTAACAGATACCCTTAAACTTTTTTTCTGTTTAATTCTAGCACCAAGGAATATCATTTTTGCTGGCTGAAATGGCAATGAAAGTTGAACTAGCGAGATTGAGTTACCAGAGAGCAGCTTGGGAGGTTGATTCTGGTCGCCGAAATACTTACTATGCCTCTATAGCAAAGGCATTTGCTGGAGATGTTGCAAATCAGTTAGCTACTGATGCTGTGCAGATTTTTGGGGGCAATGGATTTAATACAGAATATCCTGTAGAAAAACTAATGAGGGATGCCAAAATCTATCAGGTAAGGTCAAAAATGATTTCTGTTGTTTTTTAGGTAAAATAATATTCATAGATGACAGAGCAGATTTCTAATTTAGGATTTTGTGCCATTAATAAAATAAACTATCATACATGGCTGTAAGCTGAAGTTTTTAAAACTAACACAGAAGAATGTTACTTTTAAGTATATGCCTTAAGAGAGAATAAAGTAACAAAGTGAATGGTACAGACAAGTACATTTATGTCTGGGTCAGGCATCTTTGATGCTTAACATCCTAGCTAATCGTAGTCTACTCTTTGCTCTCCCAGAAATATGCATATAATTAAAATATTTTAGAGGTGTTTGGGTGGCTCAGTTGATTGAATGTTCAATTCTTGATTTCAGCTCAGGTCAAGATCCCAGGGTCGTGGGATCAGAACCATGCTCAGCGTGAGCCTGCTTGAGATTCTTTCTCTCTCCCTCTGACCCTCTTCCTGGCTCGTGTGCTCTCTCTCTCTCTGTCTCTCTCAAATAAAAAATAATAATAATCAATTATTTTATTTTTAATCTTGCTTGACAACTACTGAATTGATTAAAACCATATTTGGGAGGAAAACAACATGGAGAGGCAGTGATGTAGTGGTTAGAAAAACTTAGAGATAGGGATAATTTGGTAAATAAAATATAAATGCACATGTTCTCCACATGTTGCTTAAGTAATTTTAACCCATCGTCCTCAGTATCCCTTCCCTTGCCTCCCTCTATCCACAACCAGTTATTTGGGAAATCCAGTCATTTGAAATCTGGAGGTAGAATCCTAGAATGTTAGAGGAAGAAGGAAATAGACATTGCAGCCTCTGAATTTAGACATGAAAAACTGAGGACCAGAATTTGTGCCTTATACAAAGTTACAGGTTTATCTTGTAAAACTGTCCCTCTCCTGAAGCCTATCATTATTACTGCTATCAGTCATTTATTAGAAGTTCATCTGAGAAGATGAACTGTAACAAATTTGCTAGGGTTTAAACTAGAAGTAAGGGCTGGCTACTAGGATTGTCTCAGTTAAAGCCAAATGTTCCCAGCATCTTTTTCTTTAGCAACTCTGTTCCTTAGGCAGCAAAAGAGAAAATCAGGTATAAGAGTAAAAATGGAAAATGACTGAAGGGGACAACTGGCTAAAAACAATTCAGAAAAGTTGAATAAATATTTTTGCAACGTTTAACTTTTAGGTTTCCCAAACTTTTTGAAATGTTGATATCCTTTAATTTTTTTAACACTCCCAAAATTTTGGTAAATGACTTTTTATAATTTAACTAATCTTTATTTTAGAGAATTATGTATTTTCATGGGTTTCACAGAATCGGGTTTTGGAATCACTAGACTACAGACCCTTTATATGGTTTCATTCAATTTGATGTTACAATGAAGCTTATACTACTGTCGAAACTATTGAGTAAATTATTCATGTACTGAAGATATTTCATGTACATCTATTTTTTTCTTGCAGATTTATGAAGGTACAGCACAGATTCAAAGACTTATTATAGCCCGTGAACACATTGGCAAGTATAAAAATTAAAGAGATTGCTATAAAACATGATTAATTGTTGAGTAATTAGAACATAATCTACTATTTAAGATAAAGGGCTTTACGATATTTCTGGTAAAATCTTAAAATAATTGCTCTTACACTGAACCCATACTACTGATTCTAATACTATCTTTCCGCTTTTGTTTAAATGACTTGTTTTTTCTCAAACAGGTTTGGTTTCACTAAAATTATGTGTTATCCATATACCACTGTACTTGAATTACATTAACCTAGAAAAGTACATTTGTTTTGTTATTCTAACCACTTAAAGTAACAAATTTTTTGGATTTCAATATTTTTCCAGTGACATTTTTGAAAAGTGGGCTTATAAAAATATTCAGAATTTTCCAAAATTTACATTGAGAAAGAATTATAGGATTTGGATGCCATCACATAACTTACTGGTGACTTTGTAGACTTCATGGTATTCTACTGGAGGAATTTATTTTGCTACAATTTGGAAAGTATTTGTTTTCAGTTTTGTATAGTAATAGTCAAAAATTTGATGTTCTTATTCTCATCATACAATGACCAGAAGTTATTAGAATCTTGTTTAATTCTGAGCCTACATGTCACTTGGCCTTATTTAAAAATAAATCAATAAAATTTGCCTTAAAATATTTTTATGATTCTTGATATCTGAGTAGCCTTTGGTCTGTTGTACACAATCTCATTTCATGTGCGTGCATTATGAAAAGAAATAAAATTGTTCAGTGCTTATTAGTGTCTCTGTATTCTTTCCCGGAAGTTTATTTACTTCATATAAAAGTGAATTTATGATTTATTTACTGTGATGAAAAAAAGTCATGCTTTGATTATGAACTGCATGAAGTTACCTACCCATTTTTCACTAAATTATATTATTAGGTATTTCAAAAATTATAAAATCATGTAAGAATGAAAGTTTGTGAATTTAATATTTCTTTGTAATATTAAACATCAAATGCTGCTAAAATATGTTATATTAATGAGAGTTTCTAACACCACTTCTGATTTTCTGATTCTGCACCAATTGGGCATCCTATAGTTCAATCCTATTCTTACACTAACTTGAAGAGTTACTATCAAGATTTCACAGGTTTAAGGGCTCAGTCCCATACTCACTTCAGACACCAGTCACACGTCCTGGGTCCCCAGGCTATCCACACTTCTGTGTAATTTGGATACAAATTTGGGTATTCCCATGATCCACCCTTAGATTCAACAATTTGCTAGAATGGCACACAGTACTCAGGAAAAACACTATTATAAAGGATACAACCGAGGAACAGCCAAGTATAAGAGACAGATGTATAGGGCGAGCTATAAGGGGAGACACAGAGCTTTCATACCTTCTCCCGTTGCACCACCCTCCTAGTACCTCAGTTCTCCAACCTATAAACTCATAGATCTCTTGTTCAAGAGTTTTTATGGAAAATCTTTAGCCCTTATCTCCTCCCCTTAGGTCAAGGGTGGGGCTGAAAGTTCCCACCTGTATTAGTGGCTAGGGCTGCCAGAACAAAATGTTGCAGGCTGGGTGGCTTACACAACAGAACTTTAGTTTCTTACAGTTCTGGAGGCTACAAGTCCAAGATCAAGGTGCCATCTGGGCTGGTTTCTGGAGAGATCTCTTCCTGGCTTGTCGAGTGCCACCTTCTCACTGTGTTCTCACACGGCCTCCTCTGTGCACATGCATGAGGAGAGAGAAGGCTCTGGTGTTTTTCTCTTCAAATAAGGACACAAGTCTTATTAGATTAGGGCCCTACCTTTATGACCTCATTTGACCTTAATCACTTGTCTCACAGCCCACATCCAAATACAGTCATATGGGGAAAGGTTAGGGCTTCAACTGTTGAATTTTGTGGGAACACAATTCAATCCCTAACACAATCATCTGATTGTTTAATCTTTCTGGTGATCAGCCCCATCCTAAATTCCCATCTAGGGGCCCCACCTGAAGTCACCTCATTAGCATAAACTCAGATATCATCTTTTGTGTTTGTCATGAATAACAACAGATACTCAGCAAATTCAGAGTTTTAGAAGTTCAGAGCCAGGGACTGAGGGCAGAGACCAAATACATTCTTCTGTTGCCACTTAATTATAAAAATAAAAATCTAATCTTTTACAAAAAAATATTTAAAAGACTGCTTTTTTCATGCTCAGTTATGAAATTGTACTTCAATGACAGAGATTGGTAAGGAGATTTAGACACTTCCTGAGTATTACAAAGAAATTACAAGTTAAATAGAATATATTCCAAATGCAGATTTGAATTTATAATACATAAGTCCAAAAACTTACCTACCAATTCTAAACATAAAGCTTCTAGACATATAAATGTATTCCAAAGCCATATGATGATAATATTTATTAATGTACCCTCGATTATAAATATTAAGCAATTATATAACTATCAATTAAGACTTTTTAGTCACTAGTAACACAAATGAACTTAAACGACTTTAAGAAAAAAGTGAACAGGGGCACCTGGCTGGCTCAGTTGGTAGAGCATTTGATTCTTGATTTCAGGGTCATGAGTTCAAGCCCCACATTGGGCATGGAACCTACTTTAAAAAATGAACAAATGCATTTTAAGTACATTGAAGTGCCTCATGGATCAAAAGGGCAGGAATGAAGTGAGTTTTAGAAAGGGTCTAGAAGCCAAATAACTTTAGAAATCCATGCAATAATATTTTTCTACCTTTCAACTCTACCTCTGTCACGTTTCATTTTTTTTCTCGTTCTGTAGCCTAGCTTTCTCTGTTTCTTCAATCCTAAAATAGAACAAGACCTAATATTTATATATGTTAGATTTCCTACCACTTATATAAGCTGACTGGCTAGGGCCATTACAGCCAGGAGGGTAGGAAGAATCATAGACCGTAAACATGATTGTTAGTTGCCTATATCTCTGAATTGATGGTTTCTGGAAAAGGCATAGTTTTGTAGCAGAGCTGGTATATTTCTGGCAATTTTAATGAATAAGGAATGTGCCATAGTCATCAATTTGCATAAAGGGAGAGGAGATTATACCAAGCCTTCTCTGGGTTTAAAAAATGGCTGTTTATATGGCTTTTAGAATGACATCCATTTATTTTAATGTATTACCCATGATCAAGTACTACAAAAGGTCTTTGGAGACTGAACATTAAATCCTACATAAGTGTCCAGTTTTTGATTTTGGGTCAGGTCATGATCTCACAGTTGCGAGATCAAGCCCCACATCAGGCTCTGTGCTAAGTATGGAGCCTGCTTGGGATTCTCTCTATCCCTCTCTCTCTGCCTCTCCCCTGCTCATGCTATCTCAAAATAAATAAATAAACACTAAAAAAAAAAAAAAATCAAATCCTACAGGAAACACTTAAAAAATGTTAAAAATTTCATTTAACTCATTGATGAATGAGGGAATTAATGAGGTATTAAAACTGTCATAAGGGATGGGGCACCTGGGAAGCTCAGTGGGTTAAGCATCCTACTCTTGATTTTGGCTCAAGTCATGATCTCACAGTTAGTGACATCAAGCCCTGCATGGGGCTCTGTGCTAACAGCACTGGAGCCTGCTTGGGGTTCTCTCTTTCCTTCTCTCTGCCCCTCCTTGTTTGCACTCTGTCTCTCTCCCTCTCTAAATAAATGAATAAGCATTAAAAAAATTTTTTTAAACTGGCATAAGGGAGAATTTGAAAAACAAACATATAGGCAATTAGAAATGCTTAATATTTGCTAATAGATATAAAACTTTAATATCTTATAGGGCAATAAAATCTAAAGGGGTCATCTTTTCCACCGGGCAGAAATCAACTGTAGTTCATTTATATTACTATCCATTTTCTATAATTTAACTTTTTTTGAGTTTACAGAATGGTAAAACAGCCTAGTCAATAGGAAGACAATTATAGATACATAGCACTTCAGATACTACCCTCAGAATCCATTAGATAAAACCTAGCACTCCACTAAATGGACACTCAATAATTCCTTTTACCCATTTCCAAGTTTTTGGCAGTGTTTCTTGACAGTTTCTTCCTTGTGATCATAAATAACCTGCCAAGATTATTTTGTTCTAAAAAGGCAGGTTTCATTAGGTTTGGCCTGATTACTGCCACAGTGTTAATGAACCATGTAGGCCTCCTTGAATTTACTTTGTAAATCCAAAGACATACTGTGCTGAACAATTACCAAAGCTGCAGAATTAACTTCTGTCTGAAAGTTTTCATAGAGACACTCAGACTTTTAAAAGCCTCTATAATTTGCGATCTCAAGGCTAGATCTAGAACCAAAGTCAAGCAATTCTGCACCAGAGTTCTCAAGTAGTACCTAAGAATTTGAGTGACTTTCTCTCCTCAGCATCTCCAAAATTTACTAAGGTTCCTGGCTTGCCCAAACGGGCCCTTCCTAACCACCTGTAAGACTGGAACCCTGTAAGCCAGTTACCAATTCCAATTTTACCAGGACAGCATTGTAAACATTAACTCAACATACATAGTCAACTTGTTTTTTTGATAATATGCTTGTCAAACCTGATTAAAGGATTATTATGTCATATGACATAATATGTCATATTATTCTCAAATATGACACTCCAGGTATGGCCTTGGTTACATAATCAATTTGCTTAATTATAAACAAGAATACAAAATCATGGTGTACCTGGGTGGCTCAGCCAGTTAAGCACCTGACTTCTGCTCAGATCATGATCTCTTAATTCGTGGGTTTGAGCCCCGAGTTGGGCTTTGCACTGGCAGTACAGAGCCTGCTTGGGATTCTCTCTCTCCTTCTCTTTCTCTGCCCCTCCCCCACTGTGCTCTCTCTCAAAAATAAATAAATAAATAAACTCAAAAAGAAAAAGATTCATTTGAATACTGCCATAAAATGTAAGGAGATTCAGAAAATGTTTCTGAATTCTAGGGACTAGGTGGGAATCAGACACCATTTTAAACTTCCAGTTTACAAAAGCACAGTCCACTAAATTGAAGACAGCCTAAGAATTAAAAAGGGCTTCTTCATATACCCATAGAAACAGAACATTACAACTACATAACCAATATTCCAAACAAGTAACCATGATTAAGTTCCCCTCCTTGGCTCATTCAGTTCTCTGTAATTGTTCTGTGGGATCTTGAGTCAAGGAACTGCTTTCAAGAAGCTGTTTTTTTCCAAACTAAGAGTTCTAGAAATCCTGACTGAGTCTAATGGTATGGTGTGAAACTTGCCTAAGCTATGCCCACTTGTAAGTCTGTACCCAAAAGACTATTCTTTGAAGTATCTATCAGTAATTTAAAGTAACTGAGCCTTTCCATGAGGCTTTGAGACTGTCCCCGCATGCACAAACTTTGGCCTGTAGCTTACAGTACAGCCTTCAAGTTAGCATCAGAGTAAATCAGAAACTATTGTAAAGTATTATAAAGTAAAATATGACTGTCTTAGCTCAGGCCACTTTAACAAAACCATACACTGGGTGGCTTAAGCAGCCAACATTTATTTCTTAAAGTTCTGGAGGCTGGAAAGTCTAACATCAAAGCACCTGACTGTTAACTTCTTATATTCTCACATAGAAGAAATAGGGTGAGAGAGCTCTCTGGGGTCCCCTTTTTAAAGGGTATTAATTTCATCCATGAGGAGTGCACCTCTATGTGACTTAATTACCTCCAAAAGCCCTCACTTCCTAATACCATCACTTTGGGGACGAGGATTTCAACATATAAATTTTGAGGAGACAAAAACATTCAATCCATTGCAATGGCTAAAATTGAAGATTATAGTTAATTACTATATCCGATAAAAGAATGGAAGTAAATGAAAAGTCTCTATGAAAGCAAAGTGCGTAACTGTTTCACAAGACTTTAACCATTATTTCCCTTAAGGGAAACAACATTGGCAAATCTCCAGGGCTTTTTTATATTAACAACAGTTTACACAAATTTAAGCTAAAGAAGGCTGAGTTGATCTGATTTATTTACTAACTTTTCTTATGAAGCTCACACAATAGTGTTGATAATTAAATATGGAATACATAAACTTTATTATTTCTAATATCTTTCTTTTTAAAAGGTGAAAGAACAGATCTCCCCACCCCCCAGGAAATTTCAAAGATACATTTACGTGTAAAATATAACCTGAAATTTTGATTTTTCTTCATTCAAGATTTGACCCTGAGAAGGTCATGATATCAGAGATGATTGATCATTTGATTATGATAGGATTATAGGTGCAAAGAATACTGAATACTGACAAATAATACTTGGTTATAGACTTAATTAAAGGACAATAAATTTAAAAAATACAAAAGAATGTACTATAACATGATTATAAGAAGTTTAAGATGTTTCTCAAATAAAAATCCTTTTTCCTCGTTTCTTTTTAATAATTAAAGATATGACACATAGAGCAATGAAAGTTTATTCTGGTTAAGACAAAATCTCTGCTATCTAGGCAGAAGGTAAAGATTAACCTTTTACCTTAGGGATTGATGGCTCAACCAAGGAAGCAAGCCCCTTAACACTGACTGAACTTTGCCAAAATTGTAGCATATTCCAGTGTCTTTTCAGATGCACATACTACATATCAAGGCAAATAAAATTCACTTTCCTGAAATTGTCTTTCACTATGCTTTTTCATACTGTAGAACAAACTGATAATTTGGAACAAAACTGCACTTTTCTCTTGAAAAATAAAAACACATACATAGTTGTATTTTTCTGTAACGATTGCTACTATTATAGTTATACAGTAATCCTTATTATACTTAAAGAAACTAACTTCCCAGAGAAACCAACTCCTAGAGAAACCTGGGAGGCAGGTCATTGAGAATTGTTTGTCACATATCAATATTTCAGCAGATCATCAAAACTCATGAGCATTAACACAACTTTGTTCAGCTATACATATCCTTTTATACATTAATGCAACAAAAAGAAACATTTATTAACTTGGCCCAAAGGTATCACTTACTACATAGCATATCAAAATAAGAAACAAAAGTATATAAACTTAAAATCAGGCTTGGTAATCAAGGGTTTAATATTCTATCCAAAAAACAACCTAGGTTTGCCATGATTATTAATTAACTCAGTATAGTCCAAGGTTTTAAATTTTCTAAGGTTCTTAGAAATTATATAATTCCGGGGCGCCTGGGTGGCTCAGTCGGTTAAGCGGCCGACTTCGGCTCAGGTCACGATCTAGCGGTCCTTGAGTTCGAGCCCCGCGTCGCGCTCTGTGCTGACAGCTCAGAGCCTGGAGCCTGTTTCAGATTCTGTGTCTCCCTCTTGCTGACCCTCCCCTGTTTATGCTCTGTCTCTCTCTGTCTCAAAAATAAATAAAACGTTAGAAAAAAAAATTTAAAGAAATTATATATTCCAATTTACGGTTGGAAAAAAATTTCATTTTTTATTTTGTTTGCTTCAATCTTGTTTCATTGTTGATTCAATTTAATGGAAGCCAAATTTACAATTTTAAAGATCTTAAAATTTATGTAGGAGTTAAGTTAGCCAATTTGATCAATAAACTAATATAAAAAGTTTAGGAAAGGGGCACCTGGATTAAGCATCCATTTTAGGCTCAGGTCACGATCTCAAGGCTCCACTCTCTGCTCATGAGTTTGAGCCCTGCTTCAGGCTCTGTGCTGACAGCTCAGAGCCTCGAGCCTGCTTTGGATTCTGTCTCCCGCTCTCTCTGTCCCTCCCCCGCTTGCATGCACGCCCTCTTTTCTCTCTTTCTCAAAAAATAAATAAACACTGGGGCGCCTGGGTGGCTCAGTCGGTTGAGCGGCCGGCTTCGGCTCAGGTCATGATCTCGCAGTCCCTGAGTTCGAGCCCCGCGTCGGGGCTGTCAGCACAGAGCCTGGAGCCTGCTTCAGATTCTGTGTCTCCCTCTCTCTCTGACCCTCCCCTGTTCATGCTCTGTCTCTCTCTGTCTCAAAAATAAATAAACGTTAAAAACAATTTTTAAAAAAAATAAACATTAAAAAAAATATTTAAAAAAAGAGTATGTTTTTGTCTCCTCTGCCTTTCAAAATAAATAAACTTTGAAAAGAGAATGTTTTACTTAACCCAATATATCCAAATATGATTTTAGCAATCTACTTTTTAAATTGTTAATGAGATATTTTACTTTATTTTTCCTACTTAGTCTATAAAATAGGGTGTGCATTTTATACTTTATAACATCTCAATTCAGATTCACTACATCTCAAGTGTCGCATTTAGTTATATTACACAGCACAGGCCTAGAGACAGAGATGAACTTGTTTTTTCAAAATTAGGGTTTTTGTTTGTTTATTTTTGTAACTATTTTTCTTTGAGGGGGGGATATTTTTATTTTTTGAGGAGGTAAGATATACCAAATTTCAAAAGTACCAGCATATTCAGTGAAAAAGAAGCCTTCCTTAAATCCTGTCCCCAGCTATCCTCCTCCTGTAGGCAACTGCTTTTAGTAATTCTGTGCATTTACAAATACATCCATATATTTTCCTACTTTGTTTTCCACACAAATAGTAGCACAACATACATAGCTTGGCACTTTCTGTTTTTGTTTTCACTTAATATATTTTAGAGATCTTTCCATAGCAATATATGCAGAGCTTCCTCTCTTTAATGACTGCATAATGAATACAGTGTAGTTTATTTAACCTTTTGATGGTAATTAAGGTATTTGTAACCTTTTGCTAATAAAGACTGCTGCTATGAATATTCTTGCACATAGGTCACTTCATACCCAAAAGACTATTTGTAGGATAAGTATCTATAAATAGAGTTGCTGAATGTAATTAAAAGAATTGCTAGAACTTATGCTTCCTACACAGATTTTCATTTTGCTGATCATCACACCCCTAGAACTTAGAATAATATTTGGCACATTCTAGGGGCGCCTGGGTGGCTCAGTCGGTTGAGCTTCCAACTTCGGCTCAGGTCATGATCTCGCGGTCCCTGAGTTCGAGCCCTGCGTCGGGCTCTGTGCTGACTGCTCAGAGCCTGGAGCCTGTTTCAGATTCTTTGTCTCCCTCTCTCTCTGACCCTCCCCCGTTCATGCTCTGTCTCTCTCTGTCTCAAAAATAAATAAACGTTAAAAAAAAAATTTAAAAAATAAAACTATTTGGCACATTCTAGACATCCAATAAATATTTGTTGAATGAATTTATAAAGTAGGAAATGAGGCTTGTTCTTCATTTTTTCAGCAGTTATGGACTCAATCTGAATGTTACTTTTTGGATCTGATGCTTGCATTATTCCTACTTTGAGCATTGCTTTTCCCAGGAAGTGTGACCTCTCCCTCTCTTCCTTCGTTTCCTTCCCTCTACATCCCTCCCCGATCTGACTTAGAAGCAAAAGAAAGCTGGCGAAATCACATTAATATTTAGGGAAGACTTTTTAAGATAAAAAGTTTTAGGGCTAGAGACAGTCATCACTTAATGGTAAAAGGCTCAACCCACCAGAAATAGATGCTAAACTTACATGCATTTAATAAAGTAGCCTCAAACATACATGGGAGTATCAATGGAATTGCAGGGAGAAATAATGAAATCTACCATTATAGCAGATTCAACACTCTCAATTACTGATAGCCCATTATATTGATAGCCCACTGTGTCAGGAACTCTTCTCCAAATCGTTACTGAATGTAATAAATTGTAAGGGTATGGGGGCCAATATTTTCTAATGGGTGCTCAAAATGCCAAAGTATGAACGACCTAAGAAAGCACAAACGAAAACAGCTGCAATAATACCCCTAGCAAATCTGAATTTAGTGGAAAGCTTGTGATAGGAACATGAGTGTTTCTTTTTCAAAAGTAATTTACAAAACTTTTCAACTGTTAGCACTTCCTGAAGAAGAGAAGGGAGTAGGCGAGTGAGTCGCATCCGGTACGAAGGCAAACAGGAGGGAAATGTGAACATTTATTTCATTAACATTTACTCAAAAAACGTTTATTGAATACTTACTACGTGGAAGAACTCTACTAATTACCAGCTACTTCAGCTCTTCAGAGTTCAAAGAACGTCAAAATCAAATGATTTCTTAAAAGTAATTCAGATATTTAAACATTACTTAAAACTTTTAGACAAATCGAGATGTTTATGGGACGAAGAAACGGGCGCCAAAGAATTTGGGCTCAGGCAGCGAGGACAGCTATGAGCAGTCGGCGGGGTCCTAGAGCAGCCACGCAAAGGCTCCATCCTACAGGCGCAAGTGTGGTCAGCTATGCTGGTGCTCGAAAGGGACCTAAGGGGCGCTTCTGCGCAGGCGCGTGCCGCCTAACTCTCCCCAGGAACCGACCCAAGTTCTCTTTTCGTTCTCAGACATGGTGAGTGAGGTTGCGTTTTGGGTTGGTGCTCGGGTGCAGTCCAGGTGGAATGATACCGAGCGGCTCGGTTACCTTAGGGTATTTTCGCAAGTATTAGAGAATGGTTAGCTTGAGATACGGGCCTTGCAGGGTTTCTTTAGGGCTAGGAGAGGGTGAAGCATTACTCAGCGTTTTCTGCAGATCTCGCGGGCTCAATTACGGCTTCTAATTTTATCTAGGCTTCATCCTAAGAGGCAGGCCTCAAGGTCCGACGGCCCAATTTCTTAATCGCTCAAAAAGCCGCGCCAGTTGGTGGTTCCTGTTTCCTTTCTTAATATTGTATGGCTCAAAATCTGTAGAGTCATTACTGGTATGGTCTCTTTGAAGATGTAAATTTTAGGCGGGATCTGGTGGAAATTCACTAAATTCTTTTTTGGTAATCTACGTCATGACCTACTTAACAATGAGGTAGTGCTGTCTCGATCACAATGAGCTAGATCAGAAGTGCAGGAACTGGAGCAGCGTCCTCATTTCCTGAGAGCTTGCTGCAAATGAAGAAACTAAGACTAAAAAGCTGGAAAAGATGAGGCTAAAGGGAATATTTCCTTGATAAATTGAATAGTCTTTGGAGCGTGTAGAGGTGGCTCTGAAACCTGAATTTCTAGGATTAGTAAAATTTCATTAAAGAACTTAACTGCAAATTATACGCTAGGTATATATATATTTATGCTTCAACTTGCTGCTACATGTAAACCTTCAGTTGGCTTGAATTGATAAGCTTGGATTTTCTGTGGTGTTTATTTTACTTAAAACTCTTAAGTGAACGGTAAGCAACAGCAGATATGGGTAATAATTTTTTGGGTCAATGATGAGCTGGCATGTATTCTGAATCCGAAGTTGATTATTACTACTTTAGCTCTAGAATTACTCTGAGACCTGAAAAATTACTCGAATCCTACCATGGCTTTAGTGCTTACAGTTTTTGTGTGGCAAGATGAAATCAAAGTGAAAAATTCAAATGTATGTTGAATATACAAACTGGGGTCAAGTATTAAAATAAGAACAGTTATGAAATCACTGCTTTTTTGTTTTGAAAGGGCACACCGCAGAAGGATGTTACTATCAAATCAGATGCACCTGACACCCTCTTGTTAGAGAAGCATGCAGATTATATTGCATCCTATGGCTCAAAGAAAGATGATTATGTATGTATATGATTTTACGTTGGAAATTTATTTTGAAGTGAATCTATAATGCATAAGCAGTCAGTAGGTCAGTAATGGCCCATGTTTCTTAAAAATGGTAACTCCTGGACGCCAAAGCACTGAAGATCCCTCTCTGAGGTGCATTCAGTGTGCCTTTGGACATCAGGTTGAGAGTACATCAGCATTAACGATGGTTCTTAGAAGATTTGGCAGACAAAATAGATTACCACCTGCTTAGATTTGTAAGAGGTTTGAGGTACAAAAGAGATTTGTACTTTGTGGGTATTACTTTCAAGGTCAGTGATGTGTTGGCATGTATTACCTGAGTATATGGCTGATGTGTAATAATACTTTAGCTCTAGAATTACGCTGAGACCTTGAAAAAGTCCTTACCCTAAGTTTCAGAAACGTTGAGTAACATACAACTCAAAGTAAATATTTTTCCTAGTAGTATCCAGACAACAATTGAATTGACCATCTTGGCTAGTTTTGATGAATTTGTGACTTAAGTTCTCATAACCTCATTATGGAGTTGTTAAGGACCATGTTTATCTTTTCCCTGGATGACTCAAGGATTAAGTCTTAACTTATCCCTGCCTTTTTAATCTAGTGCTTACCAACCTATTTAAACCCTGAATTTGGGTTCACAGCAAACTAAGACCACTCACCTGATTAAAAATTTTAGTATGTAATAACATCGGTGGACTCTGTCTACCAGTTTTTATTTTTCTTTGATGAGCTGTTGTTGGCTATTTTATCTTTTGCATGCTTTGGCCATTCTGGTTTTCAAGTAGTTGTATCAGTAACTAATAGGTAATAGATGGGCTTTGTACATATTCCATATATCAATAGGATAGATGTCTAATAAATAACGATGTTAAGTACTCTGAAAGAAATATTTACCCCAAACTTGAAAATGGTTGGTATATTTTTCACTTCTACTTCTGGTTGGCTCTTAGGAGAGATTGAAGTCCTGTTTGTATTGTCAGTCACAGGTAAATTTATCATATGCCTCTCAGATACTGTCCCCCCACCAAATTTGAGAGCCACAAATTTAAAATCATTACTGATGATGTTAGGATCAACTGAATAAACAGTATGTGTGGTTAGTTAGCTTTGTATGTTCCATCACTTTTACCCTACATCAGTTCAAACTGGCACATTAAAGTCATTGTGTATTTTAGGAATACTGTATGTCTGAGTATTTGAGAATGAGTGGTATCTATTGGGGTCTGACTGTAATGGATCTCATGGGACAACTACATCGGATGAATAGAGAAGAAATTCTGACATTTATTAAGTCATGTCAACACGAGTGTGGTGGAATAAGTGCTAGTATCGGACATGATCCTCATCTTTTGTACACTCTAAGTGCTGTCCAGGTAAATATTTATTAAAATTTAACAGTCTTGGCAGTGTATTTTCTTACTTGAGAACGCAGAAATTGGGTATTAGGAGTATGACAAAATTGGTGTCTATGTCAAACAAGTTTCTCTTTTCAAATGAAGCCTGTATTCTACAAGGTCAATGATGTGATGGCATGTATTAGCTGAATCCAAAGTTGATGTAAATAGTAAAATTCCACTGAGACCTTGAATGGTAAAATGTTTATCTTTGTTATATGTAAATAATTTGAAAATCTCCAGGTAGAGTTAAATGTTGATTTTCATATTAGTGAAAATGCACAATTAGGGGTTTAAATAGTTAGTATATTTAAAGGTCTTAGAATGCTAAGGTATAGTTTGTGTGTAGGGGATGAATGCTTTATGTTACCAATTTGGGTTTGTTGATAAAGCCTGTGGCATAATAGAAGATAGCCTGCACATTTGCAGTATGCATAGACAAAAGGACATGTTTGCTTAACAATTTAAAATGTCATTGAGGAAAACATCAGAACAAACTTAGCAGTGTTGAAGAGGTATTTACTTAACATGTTTTGTTTTTGTTACAGATTCTTACTCTGTATGATAGTATTAATGTTATTGATGTAAATAAAGTTGTGGAATATGTTCAGAGTCTACAGAAAGAAGATGGCTCTTTTGCTGGAGATATTTGGGGTAATGTCATTCTAAGCCATGCTACCCAAAATAACCAATTTTAAATTCTGTTTTGGTGTTAATTATAGTGATAAACTTTGTTGAAAAATTTTAAGTACAATGAATTGGAGACTTTGCTAATAATTATAAGGAGAGTTTTAAGTTTTTGATCTTTTCAGGTCCCACTAAGCAGCTGGTCTAACTGAAGTTAAATGGTCTGCTGGAAGTTCCAGCATGCACTGTGTAGGTTATATCAGCATACAGGAGAACTGGAACAGAGGGGGCCAGTCTAAAAGATGAGGTAGGTGAAATTTTTTTCCCCAGTATTTGGTGACTTTGTAAAGTTTTTTTCAAACTATTTACTGGCAAGGGAAAAATAGTCAAAAAACTTTACAAACTTATTGGATATTTGAGTGGAGGGAGGGAATAGTACATAGTACTATATTTGATAAATGTAGATAATCTCTGCTTTAGGGCTGAATACAGTGCAGGCCGGAGAGACCAGCTGCTTCATGGGATGTGAAAATCCACTTTTATATAATAGGGTAAGTTCATTGTCATTATTAGAAATTGAATAGTCCTTTTGGTTCTGTGTTAGTTATCTTCCCTTTCTGAGCATTCTAAGCAACTTAAGATAAATTGCTGTATTTTTGACAAAACTATTTTCTAGTTACTGGTTTCCTCAGAAGTGATTTTGCTTCAGATTTAGCTTTCCTCCTAGTGTCCAAAAAGTAAATATTAAGCTTGCACTCTTGGAAATTTAACCGTGGTAGCTTTGCAGTTTGTTAGTTAACCTGCATTATATATTAGGGTCAGGTTCCTCTGGTAGCACTTATGTTTTGATTTGATTCCATTTTCTTTTAGGAGAAATTGATACAAGATTCTCTTTTTGTGCGGTGGCAACTTTGGCCCTGTTGGTAAGTTTTGAATATTGTATTGGAATAATTAAGTGCCCATGATTATTCTGGAATCTAATAGGCTTATTTTTTTTCTGTTTGTAGGGGAAGTTAGATGCTATTAATGTGGAAAAAGCAATTGAATTTGTTTTATCGTGTATGAACTTTGATGGTGGATTTGGTTGCAGGCCAGGTTCTGAATCCCATGCTGGACAGGTAATTTATTAATGTGGATTAAAATTGTCAACTTTGAAGGGATAACTAGTGTGGTAAACTGCTAAAATATTAATAGCAGTTTGTGTCTGTTAATGTGAATGAAGTTAACTTAAATATACTATAATGTGGGATTTTACATAAGAATTGCTTAAATGCAGATAAAGGAAGGCATTTTTACAGTAGTATGTTCTAGCATCCTGTTCCCCACCTCTCCTGAACACCTATTTGCTTGTGCCAGAGAGGCAAATTGTGTTTGTAAAGAGTATTTGTACTGTTGTACATTGTATCTGTAAATAGTTGTCAAATAAAACTTGCTTTTTAGGGGCACCTAGCTAGCCCTCTGTCCATAGAGCATGTGACTTGTGATCATGGAGTTGTGAGTTTGAGCCCCATGTTGGGTATAGAGATTACTTAAAAAATAAAATCTTGGGAAAAAAAATTGACTTTTAGCCATGAAGAAATTTTGACAATAGTGTTTCATTGCAGAATTGGATCCTAGAATTAGTATGTTTGGATTTGTTCAGGTAGTTAGGTGATATTTACATGTTTGCAATTCTAACTTTTTAATAGAAACCAAGTTTTTATACATAAATAGGCTTTTTACTTGAGTAGTTTTTATCACTATTACTATTGAAAAATTATTATATACATGTACTTTATGTCTGTAATTTTAGATCTATTGTTGCACAGGATTTCTGGCTATTACTAGCCAGTTGCATCAAGTAAATTCTGATTTACTCGGTTGGTGGCTTTGTGAACGACAGTTACCATCAGGTGGACTCAATGGAAGGCCAGAGAAGGTATAGTTTCATCAGATATACTGTGTTCTAGTAGCTTTATTATTATAGCTTTTTGTAAATTGTTAATGAGCTTGTCTTTCCACCCCCATTGAAAATTTTCAGTTGTACGTCCTAAAAAAATGCCCTTGGCAAAAAATTAGAGTTGAGATACTTATTAAGGTATCCATTTACAAGACTCTTGAAGAAAAGATGTGTATGCTACTTTCTGATGCTGTCTTCAGTCTTCCCTATCCTGAAGTAGAATCTGGAGTAGAATCTGAGGGAAAACAAAAAAAAATGGCAAATAACTCTTAGCTTTAAAGTATATTTGTATTTAGACTTAGTATATGAATTCTTAAAGGGTCTTTTTCCCTATCCTGAAGGCCTTGTATTTTCCAGGGATAGAAATGCAGCTATTTCTTTAAACTTTTAGTTCTAGACCTATACCAAGGAAAATCAGTCATGCATTAAAAGTTTTGTTTGTATTTGGGACCCAAAGAGGGCTATTGTGTTTAAATTCTTTTAATGTTTATTTTGGGGGGTGGGGTGGGGAGGCTACAAGAGAGGGGGAGACACAGAATCCGAAGCAGGCTCCATCCAGGTTCTGAGCTGTCAGCACAGAGCCTGATACTGGGCTCGAAATCACGAACTCTGAGATTGTGACTTACGCTGAAGTTGGACACTTAACTGAGCCACCTAGGTGCCCCCCTCAAGGAGGGCTATTAAGTGAACACCTGTATCTTGTGTAGAAATCTCCATGTCTACTTACTGGGTGAAAGGACAAATAGCTTAGAAAATCAATGATTTTTAAAAATTCTGCTACAAAGTTTTCATTTAAAACCTTTATTAGGGGCGCCTGGGTGGCGCAGTCGGTTAAGCGTCCGACTTCAGCCAGGTCACGATCTCGCGGTCCGTGAGTTCGAGCCCCGCGTCAGGCTCTGGGCTGATGGCTCAGAGCCTGGAGCCTGTTTCCGATTCTGTGTCTCCCTCTCTCTCTGCCCCTCCCCCGTTCGTGCTCTGTCTCTCTCTGTCCCAAAAATAAATAAAACGTTGAAAAAAAATTTTTTTTTAATTAAAAAAATAAATAAAAACCTTTATTAAATTTTTTAAAAGAAAAACCCAATTTTTGACATTTTGATTTGGAGGGAAGGGAATCCAGCTTTCCTTCATAGTTTGCATTTCTCTTTAGTTATCACACATTCTCTAAATTGGGTCTGGAAGCTCCAGATAGTAAATGTTTTTAGCACTGTAGGACATACAGTCTTATTGCAACTACGTAATTATCCTGAAGAGCAAATTGTAAGACTTGTGTATTATAAAAACCATTTATGCATATAAAATCTTTTGGGGTGCTTGCATGGCTCATTTGGTTAAGCATCCAACTTCGGCTCTGGTCATGATCTCATAGTTCATGGGGTCAGACCCCACGTAGGGATCTGCTAATAGTGCAGAGCCTGCTTGGGATTCTCTCTCTTCCTCTCTCCCTTTCCCTCTCCTTTTCTGACTCGTGCTTTCTCTCTCAAAAATAAATAATAAAGCTTAAAAAAACAAACATTGTAGTCTAGATAATGACTCAAAGACTGTAGCTAGCTGGATTTTAGGCCAAAAATAATCAGGCATGGTGGTGCTTTTGTCTAGATCACTGTATTTTTGTTAAACTTTGCTTGTTCAACATTTATGAATAAGGTAAGGGGTAGGGAAGTACCCATAGGTGGTTTCTAGCTAGTTAAGGTCCAGTGAAAAACCTGGATAATCTTGGACAATTAGAAAATGGGTCAGGGTGGGGATTGCCAGGAATCTACACTTAGTGTAGGAGAGCTTTTAATATACCTATGAATCACCCACTGATTTTGTTGAAATGATTCTTCAATTGAAGGTGAGATGTTCTGCGTTTTTTAAACCCAAGTGACCCATATTTTGTGGAGTTAGGCTTTAGACTGTCTTTAAGCAGGTATATCATAACATTAGCATAAGGGACATTCTTTGCATATAAAATAGAGGTACAGGTATAGTTTTTACTGAGTAACAAAGCTCTGAAACTTTTAGCATGGGTATCTGTGGATTGAAATGTTTGTTTTCCAGTGATTATCTTTAATTCTAAAGATTATCTTTAATTCTAATCCTCCCCCACCCCATGTTTGGACTAGAGAATAAAATTGTGGCAATTCTCTTGTGGCTTTTTTTTTTCTCCTAGTTACCAGATGTATGCTATTCATGGTGGGTGTTGGCTTCCCTAAAGATAATTGGAAGGCTTCATTGGATTGATAGAGAGAAACTGCGAAGTTTCATTTTAGCATGTCAAGATGAAGAAACAGGAGGATTTGCAGATCGACCAGGAGATATGGCAAGTATATTTCTGACATCTTGTTAGTTACATTTTCAGAAAATGTTGCTTTGAGTTACTTTTAGGTTTCCAGGCATTTCCAGACATGGAAGTGGGATAGTATGCAAAGTAGGATAGATACCCTTCCGATAATTTTAATTTGAGAACAGATGATATAAAACAAGTGTACAGAAATTTCTTATCACTTGTCAAGAAAAGTAGTGTATGGTGAAGGTCCTGTGTTAAAAACAGAATTTGAAGCCATCATTTTTATTTTATACATACATATTTTAATTTTTTTTTTTTTTTTTTTTTTTTATGTTTGTTTTTGAGAGGGAGAGGGAGACACAACAATCCCAACCAGGCTCCAGGCTCTGAGCTGTCAGCACGGAGCCCAACATGGGGCTCAAACTCCCCAGCTGTGAGATATGACCTGAGCTGAAGTTGGACATTTAACTGAGCCACCCAGGCACCCCCATCACTTTTATTTTAGAAGAATTAAGCATTTATTAAAGTAAAATACAATGGGATCCAATATAACTTGTTCAGAAGTAGAGTTTCAGAAGCTTTCATTTGTAATACTTTATAAATTCTTATTTTTTAAATAGGTGGATCCTTTTCATACTTTATTTGGAATTGCTGGATTGTCACTTTTGGGAGAAGAACAGATCAAACCTGTTAGTCCTGTTTTCTGCATGCCTGAAGAAGTACTTCGGAGAGTGAATGTTCAGCCTGAACTAGTGAGCTAGACAGTGAGACATTGCTTAGTATAGTTTTGCTATCTTAACAAAAGTGCTTATCAGACTTAATGTGCTTAAATTGCTTATCAGACTTAAAAGCTGTGTTACTATTTTGTATATGAATATTAATTATGTACTTATACATAATGTAAAATAAAGATCTTTATTGTATCAGCTTTAGATTACCTTCTGCAATGCTGTTATTCTGAGTACAATTATTTGTTTCTGCTTCAGTGTATTTATTTGTATGTTTCCTTAACAGCAAGCTCAGTTTAAAGAACTATTTAAAGAAGTATTGTGTTCTACTTGATTTTTTCCACGTGCTTCTTTCATGTTATATAATAATGGCTAATGTAAATTGGTCTATGTCAATGAGAATGTGAATGTTAATAAAAATTGATAAACCCATCCATATATGAATTAAAAGATGCACAAGAATAAATGGCTTTTGAAATTTGGGACTGTTTCATAAGTTTATGGCTACTCTGAATTGGTCACAAAGTAATTTGGGTAAATGGTGCATTTCACCATCTTAGAGTAGGACTGCAATTTGGATATACTTTACTCTTATTTTTTATGATTTTATGTCACAGTGCCAGCTATTCCCAAGGAATTGTTGGCCTTCAAGGAAATGGAAGTTGATAGTTGCCACAATATTTTTTGAACCTGTATTTTCAGAAACATGAGCACAGAGGAGTATTCTCTGTGAGTTTTACATTCTTGGTGAAAATGAAGTATGGAAGTTGAAATTTTCTCAAGCATGTTGGCAATATTCTATGTTAATAGTCCTTTTAAGAATAAGGATTAGTGGGGTTCCTGGCTGGCTCAGTTGGTAGAGCATGGCACTCTTGTGAGTTCAAGCCCCACATTGGAGGTAGAGTGAAAGTGATGGTTCACTTAGACCTCATTCACCAATGTCCATTTTTAATATTTTGAAGAAAAGGTGCTTAACATGAGATTGTTGAAACTATTTTGACAGTTAACTAATTTGAAGAGTTTAGGATGAATTGCCACTATTTTGATCTGAAAGTTTGAAATTGGATAGAACATAATATTTAAATGGTGCCATTGGAGCTGTGGGTGAACTAGGCTGTAAACACCTGATTTATTGAGGTAACAGCTGCCTGAAATCAGATTTTACATAATGTTGGGTTAGTTTCACATGTACAACAGTGATGTCACAAGTCTGTACTTAAACGCTATGTTTAGTAATATTTAAATGTTTTTCACGTTTATTTTTGAGAGAGCACCAGCAGGGGAGGGGCAGAGAAGACGGAGACGCGGAATCTGAAGCTGGCTCCAGGCTCTGAGCTGTCAGCACTGAGCCACCCAGGTGCCCCTGTTTAGTAATGTTTTTAAGTATCTTCTAATAGTATCCAGAGTATTTTCTCAATCCTAGCTTCTCTATGAAGTTGGTACTGCTATTTCCATAGTCAAGAAAAGTAAAAGGCCCTGAAAGTCATTTGTTCCAAAGCTAGAGCTTGGATTTGTATAGTCTGTTCTTAACTAATTCATACCTACAGTATATTCAAACCTACAGTATGAAAAATAGAGAACTGTGGGAGAGAGCTCATCTTTTTTGACCTGGTTCTTAGGGCACTGTGTATATAGTTCTGTGCTTAATGCGTGAAGGGCAATTTTGTGATCAGCCTTGTGGATACTGAAGCTGTAGGAGGTTCGTGGCACTTTCTGTGTTTTGCTATAGAAGCAATGTTAGGCTGAAAACTGAATTTGTCTCCACCAGCAGGCGTTGAGTGTCCAGTGAGGGAGAGTTTGAAAATTTAAAAAATTTCAAAAGCGTATTTGAGGGTATGTGGGAAATGTTAAAAAGCACCAAACCCCTTTAGTAAAATAGAGTGCTGTGGTAACTAACAACGGGGCTACCAAATTGGATGGACGTCGATGGGCTCTGAAGAATTTGGTTCAGCCGAGTTGTGCCTCATTAAGCTCAAAGCCACAAAGCCAAGTCCTGGGAGAGGTGGAGGCACTGGACACCGGTGGGGGTAGGATCCCAGGTGTGGGTGGGGGAAGTTGGGTTCGGTGCGCCTGCGCTCTGGGGCTCTGTGCGTCTGCGCACGGGGCTCCAGCCCTGTTCTTCGACGCTTCCGTACTTCGGGGCGGTGACGCCGCTCAGAAATCCCAACCTTCTGTCTGGAAAGATTCGTGAGGATGCTGAGGCCTGAGGTCTCGTCAACCTCGTCTTCTGCCCCTGCGGCTTCCCCCGCATTGGGAAAGGCTAGAATTCAGGGTCGTCGCTATAATTTCGGACTCCAGGAGACTCCTCAGAGCCGCCCTTCAGCGCAGGCCTCCGCGTCCACACCTCCGGGCACGTCTGGAGCCGCCGGCGACCAGAGCAGCAGCAGCAGCAGCAGTGTCCATGGCCACCCGCCCTGCACCCGACCCGCCCAAGGCAAGGAGTGGTTGGGTGGAGTCACCTGTCAGCCGGAGGTCTGCAGCGTCTGGAGGTTCAGGGTGCGGGGGTGGGCGATTACCACAGAGAAGGTTCCGTTGGGATTTGGAGGATGAGAATGGGGTGCTCTAGGAATTTGCTGGGTCTGAGTGACTGGACTCGGCAAATTGGTTTTATTACAAGGCCGCAATGGTAAATGGCTCAGTTCTGAGGAAGACTGAAATAACTTACGGTGTAATGCCTGCCCCAAGTATATGACAAATGGGAGAATTTGTGCAAGAGTTTGGTGATAGCAATGCTAAACCGCTTGGCTCCTAAACTAGGATAGGACGAAAATAGATTTTTTTAAATTTAATTTAATGTTTATTTTTGAGAGAGAGAAAGAGAGAGAGAGGGAGACACAGAATCCGAAGCTGAGCTGTCCGCACAGAGCCCGACACAGAGCCCTACCCGGAGCTCGAGCCTAAGAACCGCGAGACCATGACCTGAGCTGAAGTCGGAGGCTTACTTAACCAACTGAGCCACCCAGGCCCCCTGAAAATAGATTAAATTTAGCGTTTCATCTAATTCAGTTAAATAATATGTTTAAGTAGTTTAAAAATGTATGTACTTCAATGCGAGTTCAACTTATTTATATTCGGACAACTCTCTCTTCATGGAAAAACTGACAACTCTGATATATCAGTAGGAAAGTTCCCAAACAGGGAAATGAATCCAAATGAATTTAAAACTTTTGGGGGGTGCCTGGGTGGGTCAGTTGGTTGAGTGTCCAATTCTTGCTTTAAGCTCAGATTGTGATCTCCGCGTTCATGAGATCGAGCCCCACGTCGGGCTTAGTGCTGATAGTGCCAAGCCTGCTTGGGATTCTCTCTCTCTCTCTCTCTCTCACCCTCTCACCCCCCGTCTAAAATAAATAAATAAATAAATAACACATTTGAAAAGTTGTTAAAACTCTTGTACTATTTGCATGGCAAGAGAGAGTTTCAATGAAGTCAAATCAGTCCAAGAAAAAGAAGTCTCATAATTGCTATACAAAGTAAACATCTGGTGTATTTGAAGAGTAGAGGGTAGTTTATGATTTTATCAAGAGTAGTCTCAGCTTGTAGAAGCACATTAGCAAGCACTTTCCTTATATTTTAGTACCAGATTATTTATCATTAATGCCATTAAGTTTGTCATAATTAGCTATTTTTTTAAAGTTGTTACTTCAGCCAGGTCACGATCTCGCGCTCCGTGAGTTCGAGCCCCGCGTCAGGCTCTGGGCTGATGGCTCGGAGCCTGTTTCCGATTCTGTGTCTCCCTCTCTCTCTGCCCCTCCCCCGTTCATGCTCTGTCTCTCTCTGTCCCAAAAATAATAAACGTTAAAAAAAATTTTTTTTTAAATAAAATAAAATAAAGTTGTTATCTGATGAAGTTTTATAGAAAGTGAACATGATACAAATTACAGCGATTAAAACATCATTGTATATAATTCTGAATCTTTAAGAATTGATATTTCATTTTTCAAATTTAGGTTCATATTTTGGAAACAAAAGATCTAATGCAGAAAACATATTTGCATCAAATTTTACTTTTGGTACAAGCTCATCTTCTGCACGAGATAGTAATTATCCTCAAATACTAAAAACTCCATTGTCTGCTGGAAATCCCCAGAGATCAGGTTATAAAAGTTGGACACCACAAATGGGATATTCAGGTAAAATGAGTGGAATGTTGACCTAGATGACCTTTTGAAACTTTTAAGATTTATAAGTTAGGGTAGTTAAATTCATTTGAAGTTATTTGTAATTGATATGGATGACTGAAAAAAACACATCAGTTTACATCTATCCATAATTTGAGGTTAAGTTAATGCTACATAGTTTCTGATATTATTTGTTAATATATCCAGGTCTGCATTATTTTAACTATTCTGACAAAAAGTAAATGAAGGAGAAAACTCTCTTATACATGATGTTTATTTAAATTTAGAAATTGATCCTGCTAGTACATCCTGTGGGTTTTTTTATACTTAAATTTTAGTTTTTATATAAATCTACTAGATTTTCTTGAGGGGGAAATGGATGAACTAATTTCTTCATGTGTAAGCATTCTCTAAGGTACATTCAGTGAAATTGCTTGGATATAGTGTTTGTGAATGTATACATATACAAGATAATGACGAATTGTTTTTCTAAGTACTTCTACCAGGGTACACTATTACTGGCAATGTATAAGAGTTCTTGTTAATTTACATCCTCTCCAACATTTTGTATTGTCAGACTTAATATTTACCAGTCCAGCAGTTGTAAGATACAACCTAATTGTAGTTTGAGTTGGCATCTTCCTGGTTATCAATGAGGCTGATTACCTTTTTTTTTTTTTTAAGTTTATTTATTTATTTTGAGAGAGAAGAGAGAACATGCATGCTGAAGGGGCAGAGAGAGAGAGAAAGAGAGAATCCCAAGCGGGCTAGTGCCCTATGTGGGCTTGAACTCACAAACCTCTAGATGGTGATCTGAGCTGAAGTCAAGAGTTGAACACTTAACTGAATGAGACACCCAGGCACCCGAGGCTGGTTACATTTTGTTGCTTTTTGACCATCTAGCTTTCATTTGTTGTGAAATGACTGTTTGTGTGTTTTTCCCATTTTTCTTTACTTTTATTTTCTAGATTTGTAGAAATTCCTTATATATTCTAAATATATATTCAGAATACATATTCTTTTTGATGAGTACATTTATTGGGTGTATCTTCCCTAGGTTTGTGACTTCTCTTCTTTCCTCCTTTTTTTATGATGTTCTTTGATGAACAGAAGTTCTTAATTTTATACATTAGTAAACATTTTGTCTCAACTTGTAAATGTCTTTTACAGTTGTAAATATGTATAGTTTATATGTCTATTAGGTCATCTTTTTTTTTTTTTTTTTTTTTAAGCTCTATGCCCAGCGTGGGGCTTGAACTCATGACTCTGAGGTTAAGAGTTGCATGCTCTACTGACTGAGACAGCTAGGTGCCCCTATTAGGTTCTTTAATTGTGCTAAGTCTGTATTACTAAAGACTTTTGTAGAGGTATATTAAAATCTCCCATTATGATTGTGGACTTGTCTATTTTCTCTAGTAGTTCTGTTAATATTTTGTTTTGCCTATTTTGAAGCTATTTCATTATTTTTTAAAATTTCTTTTGAGAGAGAGAGTGCATGCACACATGCATACAAGCAGAGGAAGAGCAGAGAGAGAGAGAGAGAGAGAGAGAGAGAGAGAGAGAGAGAGAGAGAGAATCCTAAGCAGTAGGGCAAAACCAGACATGGGGCTCCAACCATAAGATCATGACCTGAGCTGAGATCAAGAGTCAGTCACTTAACCAACTAAGGGGTGCCTGGGTGGCTCAGTCAGTTAAGTGTCCATCCCACTTTGACTCAAGTTCCTGAATTGGGCTGGCTCAGTGCTGATGGTGCAGAGCCCTCTTGGGATTCTCTCTTTCTCCCTCTCACGCTGCCCCTTCCCCTCCCCTGCACGTGCTCTCTTTCTCTCAAAATAAATAAATAAACTTAAAAAAAAAAAAAAAAAGAGTTGGACCCTTAACCATCTGGGCCACCCAGGCACTCAGAAGCTATTTTAATAGGAACATAAAAATTTAGCATTGTTCTATCTTAGTATTAAAAGATTCTCTTCATCTATAGATACAGTTTTTGCCTTAAAAGTTTTATTTTGTCTGCTATTAATTTAGCAGTTCCTTTTCTTTTGGTTAGTATTTATAGGATGTGTGTGTGTGTATATATATATGTGTATATATATATATATATACACACACACACATATGTATATATATGTATATATATGTGTGTATATGTATATATATGTGTATACATATATGTGTATATATGTATATACGTGTATATATATGTATATATATGTGTGTGTATATGTGTATATATATATATTTATTTATTTTTTACTTCCAAACTTTTACCCTTAGGCCTTTTACATGGTATTTCCTATGCTTAGAAACCCTTTCTTCTCTTCTTCATATAGTCTACTCTTATTTATTCCTCAAGTCTAAGCTTAAATGTTATTCCTTTCAGAAAGCTTTCTGTGATCCTGTAAGATTAGCTTGAGGCTCCCTGCTATGTGCTGCCATTTAACTTTGCATTTTACTAATAGTATGGGTATTTTAATTATCTTTTTTCTCTATAGCACTATGAAGGCAGAGACTATAGCAGTCTGGATCCAATCTGAAGATAGAACCATATGGTGATTTAAACAAGGGAGATTTAATATAAAGAATTATTAAATTATAATAAAAGAATCACTATAGGTTATAAGAAAACTCTGTTAGGTGCCCTAGGGCTGAGAGGAGGCCCAAGAGGTCATACTTGGAAGCAGGCCCTTTCCAGGAGCCATTTCCAAGTCTGAGGTATAGATCTCCTTGGAGAAGGTGATATTGAACCTATTGAATAGCAGAGGATACAGATTGGCCAGAAAAAGCTGGTTTACTGTCCCACTGGGGAGTGGTGCTATATAGGGCATTTAAGGTTTATCTCTTCTGTTGGCAGGTTAGGTACTGACAGTGTGGTTGACCAGGTCAGCCTTGTTAAGAGGAAGTTCATGATGTTGAGCCCATGCATATCTTTGACACCATGGCTGCTTTGTTCATAAGTCTATTAAAGAAGCACTGGGGTGGCTGGGAAAAGAGGCTAATTGAAGTCCATAGAGTTTATCATTGTCTACCTGATAATTGAGAGTCTTAATTATCTAGGGCATCTAGTAGATACCCTTTAGTGGGCATTCACATGAAACACAAATATTTTCAGAGTTTATGCCCATTTAAAGAGGCCCATCTGCATACATTTCCCCCAGATTTCCTTGACATTATCTTCCAATCTTGTTTCTTCCAGGTCCCTGACTGCCCAGCTAGATCATTACCAACTGCTTATGAATGAGTCTAAATCTATACTTCTGGTACAGTTCTACCTCATTCCAGACATGGTAGACAACCAAATGTACTCCTCAAAGTTCTGCTCATATGAAAGATCAAAATGAACAGAACAGCTAAAAAAAAAATTAGAATAAAATAATAATGCATATCAACTGTCTCAGTGAAAGAGGAGTTTCATAGCAAAAAAGCAATGGAGAAATTATTAAGGAAAAGATTATCTATACAAAAGCAGAAATCTTTGAGATACCAAATCAAGATTGGTAGCAAGTATAAATCATTGTAATTGATTTATAAAATTCTCATAAATGAAAAACATTAAAATTTAGTAAAAACTCTATAAGGACAAATATCTCAAAATAAAATATAGAGGGGTACGTGGGTGGCTCGGTTAAGCATCTGACTTTGGCTCAGGTCATGATCTCACAGTTTGTGGGTTTGAGCCCCATGTCGGGCTCTGTGCTGACAGCTCAGAGCCTGGAACCTGCTTCAGATTCTGTGTCTCCCTAACTCTTACCCCTCCCCTGCTAGTGTTCTTTCTCTCTCAAAAATGAGTAAACATTTAAAAAAAATTTTTTTTAATTTAAAAAAGGAGGAAAGAAACTTCAGAATTAAGAAAAAAAGAATTTCTTTAAAAAATAGAAAACAAATGGATATATTAACTTATGTTAAATTTTGATAGTAATTTTCAAAAATACAAATTTAGTATCAGTCCATTAAATTACCCAATATTACTACTACTACTACTACTACTAATCCATTTCAGAAGTTAAGAATGGTAAATATACAGTAAAATTGGTTTATCTCCTATACTATTGATGGAATTGGGGGAAAAAAATCAGTACAGGGGCACCTGGCTGACTTGGTTGGTAGAGCATGTTGCTCTTGATTTCAGGGTTGTGGGTTTGAGCCCCACATTAAGTGTAGAGATTACTTAAATAAACTTAAAAAAAATCGGTACAATTCTGAAAGAAATCTGACAATATGTAGGAGATCCTTAACAAATGGTGGTTTTCCTTTGTTCCAGTGATTGACTTCTAAGGATCCATTTTAAGGAAATAATAAGAGCTTTAGGCACTAGGATGCTAATTATATCAGCATGACAGTGTAAGCATTCTTTTAGAAGTTTAAGGGAGGTATCTTCTGAGTGTACTGAATTTCACTGGAAGTTAGTCTTTATTTTCCAAATAAAAATAGGAAGGTCATATTTTATTGCAGAACTTAAAATGATTTCATAGATCTTATATAAACTTGATCATAATGTATAAGCTGGCTTTCAGTTCAAGATCTAGACACAATAAATTTTTGAATGAACTCTTAAGTTAACCACTGAGTCGGATAACATAAATGGATAATTTTGTAGACATTGTAATAGAAGGGTAGAAAAGAATCTAGGTCAGGAAGGGATAAGAGGGGGAAAAGGGTCTATTGAAAGATTGACAAGGAAATCAAAGGTAAATTTGTTTTTTGACAATAAAATTTTACACATTTTTTCATCCATGGATAATGTCCCATATTTAAGTAATTTCATATGCTTTACAAAAAAACCCTTCTATGTTATTGCATTTAATTCTTATAACAACTTTGTGAAAAAGGTTTGGTATTTCTGGTTTACAGATGAAGAAATGGTAGCTTTATTATGGTTAAACAACTTACCTAAACGTTCATTGTTTGGAAGGCATAGATTTCAAAATCTGTAATATATGTAAAGGTTAGGAGCATCAGATTTGGAGCTGGGCTGCCTGTGTGCAAATTCTGACTCTACTAGTTCCATCCATGCATCAGTTTCTTTATAAGTAAATGGAGTAAATAATGATATCTATTTGATAGAATTGTGACAAATTAATTAATCCAAATAAAGAATTTAGAGTAGTCTTGACACATTAATAAAGTATCCAACATTACACATTTAATACACAATACATATAATTGGAGTTTATAGTTGTATAATATTTTATTTTTTATAAAATGCATTCATATATATATAATCCCATTTGATTCTTTCAGCCAGCTCTTGAGTTGGGCAGGGCAGTTATTACATTATGCCTTGTAATTTTTGATTACTTATCATGAAATAATTTGCTCAAATTCATATAGCTTTTAGACGACAGAGTAGGATAAATAGTCTAGGTTTTCTGATCCCAAATTCAGTGTTCCTTCATAACTCCATTCCAATAAATGCAACATAAGGCAATATATAACTTACTTCTTATTTTGAAGTTTTGGCAAAATACTTTTGAGAGTTAACATTTTTATTTGGTCTGGATGTGAAAAGTTGTTTTTGATGAGGAACAGAAAGTTATTTCCTTGGATATTAATAACTGTGTCCTAAAGTTGGTGCTTGGAATCTTCTGAGGAAAGAATGAGAAAGTACTACTATTAATGCTTATACATTTTCTTTTTACAAAATTTTTAACAGCTACATCCTCATCTGCAGTATCAATACACTCCCCATCAGTTATTGTAGCTGTTGTAGAAGGGAGAGGACTTGCCAGAGGTGAAATAGGAATGGCAAGTATTGATTTAAAAAGCCCACAAATTATATTGTCTCAGTTTGCAGACAACACAACATATGCGAAGGTAGGTATTAAACTCTTAGAAAGTGGTTGACTTACTCAGCAGCACGCAGATTTTCAAGTCACTGCTTTCCTAATTAGTTTACTTTTTCATGGAATAAAGGTAATTTACAATGCACCAATGTAGGTTACTCTGAGTTAAAATTGTTTTCCATCTGATTTTTATTTTTTGAATGTATTTTGTCCTAAAAATAATGTGCTTTGCTGTTACTTGAACATTTCAAATTACTGTTAGTTTCTAAAATTAACATCTTCAAATTAATAATTCCTGGTCTCATTCCCAAGACTGTATATTAGTAATGCCATCTCCAAAGGGTTGTTTCCACTGGACAGTATTTGAATTTTATTTTCCAGAGTTCCGGGAAATGGGTCTTTGAGGTCAGTCATAATTTAACCTCTTCTTGCCTTCACTTCCTATCACTTATCATTAATTTGGGCCACTGGCCTATTGTCATGGGAATTTCTGTCCCTTAACCAGGTGGAAGTAATCTGCTTCTAATCTCTATATTCTAAAAAGTTATTTGACCCAATTACTATTATTAAAATATATACATATATATATATATCACACAATGTTATTTTCAGCATTTTATTCCTCTTTTTTCCTTTCCCTAATTCCTCTTTATGGTTTTTCAATACATAGGTTTCCTTTTCCTACCAGTAATTAATTTTTTAATATACCTGACAGCCTAAATGATTCTAGTACTGCATGCTAACTATCCCAGGTATTTCACATTTTTATGCAGTTTTAAAAAATAGGAAAAAAAGCTTTTTTAAAAATAGGAATGTTTGGCAGATTAAGAATTTCTGTGTCTAGAATGGTTCTAAGAAATGCAACTATATTGTGAAAAGAATAAGTTGTAACACAGGTATTTCTCTTCGGTGTTTCTATACTGCTCAACTTCTAAGCTGTACCAGTGTGACTATATTGATTAAATCACCATAGTTACACTATTGAATGTATGTTTTTTATGGAGATAGATAAAATAACGAGTAGAAAAATTTATTTTAAAACATCTTATTTTAGGAATATATATTTGATAAGTTCAAATTAATTTTTTAGTTTAGAGCTGTTACAAATTATTGTGACTTAAAATATAGCCTATGTTTATGCTATTTTATATTTGTGGTTATATAGAAATGCTTAATATATCATTATTAGATATATGTTTTTTAACTCATATAATTAGAACAGCTGTAATTTTGTGTAACTATGTATTATTTTAAGTACTTATCTCTTAGAAAAAGTATGTCACTTGTTTGGTTTTAGAGAATACCAAGCTTACATTTAAGAAATTATTTATTCAAATGATTTTAGGTGATCACTAAACTCAAAATTCTATCACCTTTGGAAATAATAATGTCAAATACTGCTTGTGTTGTGGGGAATTCAACTAAGTTGTTTACTCTGATCACAGAAAATTTCAAGGTAAATGATTTTTATTCTCAATAGTAACACTCAAGGTCTTATTTATTTATTTATTTATTTATTTATTTATTTATAATGTTTATTTTTGAGACCAAGAGAGATAGATCATGAGCAGGGGAGGGGCAGAGAGAGGGAGACAGAATCTGAAGGAGGCTCTGGGCTCTGAGCTGTCAGCACAGAGCCCAATGTGGGGCTCGAGCCCACAAGCCGTGAGATCATGACCTGAACCGAACTCGGATGCTTAACTGACTGAGCCACCAGGCGCCCCAAGGTCTTTATTTAAAATCCATTCTATAATGGCATTCTGGAGAACAATAATTTGAGTAACTTTATATTTACCCTAAAGTACTAAGTACAAGTCCTAAGCTAAGGGACTATTAATACACAAAATAAAAAAATGACAGGACATCCACTTACTTGATTTGGCACCCTTGATCTACTTAAAAAATTTTTTTAATGTTTATTTATTTTTGAGAGACAGAGACAGAGCCTAAGTGAGGGAGGGTCAGAGAGAGAGAGAGAGAGAGAGAGAGGGCGGGGGAGACACAGAATTTGAAGCAGGCTCTAGGCTCTGAGCACAAGGCCCCACATGGGACTCACACCCCTGAACCACGAGATCATGACTTGAGCCCAACTTGGACACTCAACTGACTGAACCACCCGGGCGCCCCTTGATCTACTTTAAACAAATGGGAAAATATTTCAGATAATGAGGTTTCTCAGAGTATATAGAAAGTAGATCCTTAGAGGAAAAACAAAACAAAACGAAACTGAATTTCCTTAGGTAGAGCTTTGTGGAAACTAGTTATTGTGCTGCCAGACTAGTTGAAATTGAGGTTCTTATTCTAGGGAATAGCACTATCAGCAAGTACTTTTCCTTTTAGAGAATTTGATCTGTATTACAGAATTGTTTCAGCTTCCCCTGGTAGCATGTACTCCTCACAGTTAGCCTACTGCTCTAAGCCTCCATCTGTGGGACTGTGACAGATAAGTGCTCGGAAACTTTATCCAGCGAATGTTCTCCCTCTAAGCCAGGACGTCTCCGACATGCAGTTTATCTCTTTCCTCTAGCAAATGTTTTGTGGAATGGGGGTTGTAGTTCCCTAATCAAGTAGGTAGCATTGCAGTTGGAATAACACCTCAGGAGTGCAAATTATTTTCAGAATATACTATACTTTGTTATGTCTATAGCCTTATCTTTAACACATTTGGCATCAAGCTGTGATTTAGATTCCAGTGTAGTTGTTAATATATTCAGCATCTGCAGTCATTTAAGTTTTCTTGTCATGCTCTTAGAGATCCTGTGTAGCTCAGCTGTCTTTGACTTATTGCTAGAAATGGCCCCTATTATAAATCTGTTCTTTCTATTATACAGATCTCTTTACCTGTTATCTCTTTTATTCATTACTTCAAACTTCTTTTCATCACCTCTATTTATATATACTTTTCTAACTTTTGTTATTTTGCTCTGCTTAAGCATTCCAGGTTTTTGGCTTGTTAAGTAACAGAAATTCAACTTACACTAGCTTAAGTAAAAAAAAAAAAAGGGAGTGGGTGGGAATTTATTGATTTATGTAACTGAGAACCCAAATGAATGATTGGATAGATCTTATCCCCTACTCCCATCCTTACCACGATTTTATTTTTTTAAGAACACTAAATCATACTTTAATCCTGTTGAAGGAAATTTGTGCTAAAATTACCTTGGGATGACATGTTTTTAAGAATATACATGGTATAAAGGTATAAAGCAACCAGCTTTGGGATGATTTGGACTGTCAGCCTGCAGTCACTTGGGCAACACAGGCATTACATTTTTGACATTTAGTTATCCCCACTTGCAAAACAGAAATCACAGTTACTATCATATAATTAGCTTTACATTGTCAACATTGTTCAGAACATTTCGAAGAATTTTGCTAAAACAGAGAACACAGGCTATCTCCATAGCTGATTTAAGCCTTTTCCTATAAGCTTTTATTATGTTGCAAAAAATATATATACTAATACAATTTAAAGTTTTGCCAATTAACTGGTCCTATCATATTATTATTAAAATATGTAATTCAGAAATATTTTTTTTAATTTTATTTTTTATTTTTTAAAGTTTACATCCAAATTAGTTAGCATTTAGTGCAACAATGATTTCAGGATTAGATTCCTTACTGCCCCTTATTCATTTAGCCCATCCCCCCTCCCACAACCCCTCCCATAACCCTCAGATTGTTCTCCATATTTATGAGTCTCTTCTGTTTTGTCCCCCTCCCTGTTTTTATATTATTTTTGTTTCCCTTCCCTTATGTTCATCTGTTTTGTATCTTAAAGTCCTCATATGAGTGAAGTCATATGATTTTTGTCTTTCTCTAATTTCACTTAGCATAATACCCTCCAGTTCCATCCACGTAGTTGCAAATGGCAAGATTTCATTCTTTTTGATTGCCAAGTAATACTCCCATTATATATATATATATATATACCACATCTTCTTTATCCATTCATCCATCGATGGACATTTGGGCTCTTTCCATACTTTGGCTATTGTTGATAGTGCTGCTGTAAACATGGGGGTGCATGTGTCCCTTCGAAACAGCACACCTATATCCCGTGGATAAATGCCTAGTATTGCAGTTGCTGGGTTGTAGTGTAGTTTTATTTTAGTTTTTTTGAGGAACCTCCATACTATTTCCCAGAGTGGCTGCACCAGCTTGCATTCCCAACCATTTTTTTTTTAATTGTAGACAGATTACCTCTGTGAGTTTTAAGATGATTATGATGGCTCCAGATTGATGTCATCTCAGCTTAGCCAACTTAGAGAAAAAATATATTCTTTCTTCTGGTGTCCATATATAAATTCCAGGGAAGGACCCCAATAGGTCCTACTTTATTCACATTCCCACATGTTAGACTAATCACTATTTCTCAGGCTAGAAGCACTGTGATTGATTAATTTCTGGTCATTTGCTTTCTGTGGGGCACAGAGCACTGTAATTGACAGTCCTACCAAAACCACATAGAATGTAAGGTAGATGAGCCCTTCAAAGGCAAAAACAACATACATTTACCACACTTGAGATATAGGATAGTATGGCAGAGTGCTTATGAATAGAGGAGTCAGAATGTGCTTGTTTCAGATCTTGACTCTGAGTAACCATGTGCAAGTTGAGTGACCATGTGCAAGTTAAGTTACTTTTTTTTTCCATCAATAATCTACCTTTTAGAGAATTGGTATTTTATGTAAGGTAACTAGAGAAATGACCTCATTGATAAGTTTACTTTTGGACAAAGTCCTAAAGAGGTGAGAGAGAGAGAACCACAGAAGTATTTGGGGTAAAAGTATTAACTTCTT